TGAGCAAGAAAGTGACGGGAACGAAGTGAACGAAGCATTTATCCCGCCTATCGGGAATTGATCGACGCGATCGTATATACCGGTTTTTGTAATTACACAATCCCATTCACACGAGAATTCAGCCAGCAGAGCAGTACACTCCCATTATTACCGATGTCGAAGTCGTAATAACGAAGTCTCTGTTCGCGAATGCTCGCAAATTTATTATGCGCGCATTCGCAATCGAATCGCGTTCTCATTCGCGACGAATGGGAGAAATAAAGCTCGCTGACATGAAATTCCTACGAGCTGACCCTCCAACTGTGCTACGATTACAGCCATGGAATATAACAGACCAATTTTCCTTGGGGCAAAAACAGATTTTAATTAAAAATTCTCTTGAAACGCGCATATAGCTCGCTATGATTAGTCGAAAGCGGATTAAACTTGGAAAAGTCTTATCGTTTAATCGATCATTATCAAAATAATATTGGAGCTCTATTTTATTATTATGTATAAGATGAGATTATCGTACAAATAAATATTATTCTATATTTCTGTTTCGGAGCATCATAATGCTCCGAAACGGATACGTCAAATAATAAGAGAAATAATAATATCCATATAAAATATCATTGACCTTTGGAATAATTAAAATACATTATTTGTTAGACCGTTATTAAAGTAAACGTCCACTTAAAAGTAATATTCAACATTTAAATTAATGTGTATAATAAATCGAATATTCATGTTTACTATTAATATACGTAATTAATACGTATATGCTTACTCGTTCTCAGTAATGAAGTTAATTAAATTTAATGATTGCTATGAAAAATAGAGTGTATTAATTTGAGCAAAGGGAGAAATTGCATATATGTCATTTCACACGAGAGAGGGACAATGTTGCGCGCGTTGGACCGATCTGTTTTTTCCGTACGCTTGTGTTCAAACTGTTCGCCCTTTTTCTTTCTTTTCTCTTCCCTTCGGCATTTTTTACTCGAGTTGGCAGTTCATACGTTGGCTGTACGTGACATAGCCCGGGTATACGTTATCCGGCGTGGCCGAGCGAATGTGATAGCGTAGTGAAAAGCTTGCGTACCTTTCACGGAGCTTCGCCGCGGAGTGCAAAAAAATTTATTATTCGTTAGCCAACCCCCGATAACCCCCGGGGCGAATCCGGATACGGATATACGACTCGTTCGCGGAACAAAAATTCAAACGTGCGTTTGACCCACTTGTCGCGGCCGATCGATGAAATTCGATTCTACTATTGCGTATCGTGTTTCCGACGTCGATGCGCATTAATCGAGTCCGAGTACGAAATACGGCTGCGTAAAATACGACGATTGTATGCAAAACGACGCATAATGACGTTTTAATGGGAATTGTATAGAATTACGATCCCAAATGCACGAATCGATGATTAGAAATTAATAAGCTTGAAATCTCCTCCACCCTAAAACACGTTTAATTTTGCGAACGTAATTGGGAAAGGATTTTGGCGGGATTATATATGTAGGATGTCCCGTAAAGATCGGATCAACGCTTAAGAAGATGATTTTTCCCGAGCAAAAATGTCAAGGCATCAATAATTTTCGAGTTATAAGCGATTGGAACTGAAAGCTTTACCGCAAACTAAACCTTGTGGAAACAAAGTATTAACAAGACCACATTTTCAATTGATTTCAAGAGTTTACTTTAATTGAATTTTAATATATAAGGCTTAGTTACAAAAGCTACATGATGATAAAAATTGGGAACATAAAAAAATGATGACCTCCTTTGACATTTTCATTTTCACAGGAATCTACTCTTAAGCGTTGATCTAGTCTTTACGGGACATCCTGTATATATTACATATGTAAAGATAAAATAAAATAAAAATATACACGCGTATAGCCAGGCAGATATCACTATTTACACTTACGTGTAAATTGGAGCAAAATTTGCTCAAATATACAAGAACCTTCTATCTTTACATAACACATGTTATGACCAAATTACGGAGAGAGAGAAAAAGGAACGGAGATCAATATCGCATTATAATTTCAAATAAGAAATTCTTAATGATGCAGCAACATCCTCAATCTGGTGCAAATTTAAATAGATCTACGATTCTAAGGTTATCGTCCAGGAGGGTATTTCAGCTCATTGGCATCGTCGAATATTTACAAGATGCGAACAGGTCCGTACGTAGTAGCGGCCGCGCCACGAGAGATCTATATGTATAATACTTGGACGCGTAACCTAGATGACCATAGGTAGAAGGCGGCGAACAAATCTCCCGCGGCGTGTATGTACATGCACGGACGTCGTCCATTATTTGCGATATAAAGTGCAACATTATCGAACGGCCGCTGCGGGCCATGAATTCATTCGCTCAGTTTTTCCCATATATTTCAGAGTATTTTTCTTCCGTCGTTGCCGAGCCGCTCTTCTCTCCTTTTTCCGCGCAATCCCCGAATAAATGGTCGCGATATACCGGCTTCGGTAAATAGCGCGCGATGCGGATGCGTCTATACATCCAGAATTATGATCGATACATCCTTGATACATAAATGCCCGACCATAAATGTTTCATGCGCGTTCGCGAAAAAAAGACGGAGGGAAAAGATGATCGTGTTATGCATATAAAGCATATTGACAGGATAAGCTATAAATGGGAAAGTAAAAACGTATAAGATTCTTGTGTTACACAGTGTTTTTGAAATCCTCTCGACGTAATTTTAAAATTATGATTTTCACCTTTAGAGACTGGAGGGCGCAAAAATTTTATAATATCTAACATTACGTTAGATATATCATTAAATTTTCATATTTCAAGTTCTTTTGAGGATCTAACTGACAGATAAAATTTTCAGAAGACGGTTCTCGTTTTCTGAGCGCGAAGGTTTATGCAGTATCTTTTATTCCAACTATAAATTTTTGATAACAGTTTCTGCGCGTTTGCTTTCTCTTTCATTTCTTTCTCTCTTTCTGTCTCATGGATCTGTACTCTGGTGCGATCCAACACGAAAGAAAACTTTGCACAAAGTAAAGAGAAATCTTGTTCATTTTTTTAAATACGTCAAGTTTTTTTTCTGAAAATTATGAAAACCGCGCCGAAGACAAATAATATTTTTATAGATATAACATAAATATGTTACTGACGCGGATATTGAATCAACGTTAATACAAAAACTTATACAAAGTTTAATTATGCAAAGAATTATCAAACACATAAAACGATGACAAAATTGTGATATTAACACGCGCATAAAACATTTTAATATATTGAAATTTTAATATAAACTACAATATTTTATATGTAAATATAAAATTGTTTTTATACATAATAATATATATGTATATATAATATTATATTTTTATATTTTTAATATATTTTAATATACATATTTTATTTATAAAATATCAGTGAAAAATTCACTTCACGTAACATACGTATAATCACGTCAATACCAAAATTTATCGATTCGAGTTCTACTCCAATTATGAGTGTAATGGTCGATTTGAGGATGCACTTGCAGAATCGTCACGAATCAATAAACTGGGTTATGGTTACACACCTCTTGTTGCGGATATCGCATAGCGTAATTTGCCTATACTTGAAAGATAATTTTCTAGGTACGATAAATTACGGTTCACGAACCGAATTAATATGAGCATATTGCTGGACCAATCGGTACATTAAGTAACCGATAATCCGGCGAAATACTCGGGATATCGTAGAATTTATCTGATAATTAAGATCGAGCGGTATTACATATACTTGCCTCAAATATTATGTTAGGTACACGATATCAGAAACAAGGAGCAATATATCAATAAGAAAACATATTACAGAAATATATTATTCGCAATTTTTTTCATATTCTTCTTAAATGAATGTTTTGATGTATGTATATAAAAAAAGAGAAACGGAGAAAAAATTACCCGGGGCTCGTAAATTTCCATATTAAATGTGATTTAATGGAAACGCTTACGCAGATTCACGGAAGATGTTATTTTCTTGTCCCACTAAATATAATTTAATGAAATTTAATGTCTCGCGCAACACAGAGAGTTAAAATATTAAATTAAAGATACGTTAATTACAAATAACACATGTTGTCAAAACGTATATTACATATCAGGGTTTAACGTGAATATTGCGAGGCTCGAGGATATATTCCAATAACCACATTAGTCTAGGTCAATATTTACGTTATGATTATGTTAATGCACGAGTGCACAACCAATTCGAATCTCAATGAACTATCCTCTCTTCCTCTCTCATGCACCATTTATTCGACACAGGTGTTAACACTCGCCGATAATCAACAATGGACGCGTTGGATAGCGCTAATTCAAAATTATCGATCTATTGTCGGATAAAAATTTAAACCGGACGTTTCGTCTCTCGAGTGGATGAACAATTCACAAAAATTGATCTCGACCCTTTCATTCGTCACTTTACGTGATTATTGAAATTTATAAAATTTTTCACACCATCTCTATATATTTTTTATATATCTATTATATTTTTCTCTATCTATTTTCTTTTTTATTAATTTATATAATTTATACACCCTATAAGCTACCCCTATACACAGTAAAAATTTCATGTGTTAATTTAACATGTATTGCTGTTGTGTTACTTGAACTTAAATGTTAAATTATTAAAACAACTGAAAAAGATGTAAAAATAACACAATGTGCATCTATTTTGAATTTTACAGAATAAAATGTTAATTTTTATTTGATAACATAAGCGGATGAATCCTAAAATTAATATATTTTTAAAAATTTATTTTTACATTAAAACTATGTTAATTTTACACAAAATTGATTTGACATTACTCGAAGTTTCGCATTTATTTTCTGTTAAAATATGAGCACGGTATTCGTGTCTCCATTTAACACATCCATATTATGTAAAATTAAGAGAAAGATTTCTGTGGACCTGCGATTTGTTAAATTGAACACATAAATTCTTCAACTGTGCATAATAACAACCCTAAACCTTGTTCGGTACTCACTCGCGCGTGTCTCCGGCGTGTTGGTGCTCTCTCCTGCGGCGAATATCCACGAGGGGATTCACCACGATCGATGAATCGAACCGTCGATGCAGATATCGATAAACCGCCTGCGGCTTTTGTTGCGGATCCCAAAGTGCGTGAATCGCGCGTGACTCGCGGTCCACGAATCGATCGGATCGGCTACGTTTTACTGCCTCACATTTACTACACCGGTGCCGGGACTAGCGCATACTGGCTGACCGTCGGTCTGCGAGGGAGAAGCCTTCTCTTTCTCGCGAGGTTTCCACCGAACTCGCTCGCGAGGAGCTCTTTCCCCCCACGAACACAACGCGCGACAATTTCAGAGGAAGAAAGTAGGCTTCGCCTGACCCTTCTTATTCCGTGGATCGACTTCGCTATTACTTCGCAACACGAAAAAGTCCCGGACCGATCGCGGACCGGTGCTTTCCACTTGGTGGAAAGTTACGCGCGGATGTTCAAACGTATAGATATACATGTATATGGTATATATATATACGCGGGAAACGCGATCTCGCGCGATCCACGGATGCGTTACGCGGAACCACCTAAATTTAAATTTTTCTCTCGCGCTCCGCAGGAGACAGACACGCATTTCCTTTCTACGTTCCGCGTCGATCGTATCTGCGAATTTTCTCGATACACTGAAACGAAATTAGCGCTATCATAATTAAATTTTAAGTACCCTATATATTACGAAATTTAATTATCATGTATAAATATTTGAAATATTGTGATAATTAGTATTTGAAAATATTGATTACTATAATTCAAACTTGGACATGGTAACTAAATTTCAGGTAACACATATAGGGATACCTTAAATTTAGCTATGATAGCTTATTTTCTTTCTTTCGTTATCAAATCGTATGTACGTTTAAAATTACACTCATCAAATTGATAATTAACGGTAACAAATGGTGTATCATTTTGCAAGAGACTTTTGCGAAACGCCGAATGTTGCGATCTCGATTTTCCATCTTCAATTTCTTCAGGCGTACCGCGAGTTCAAATGAGAATATTACGAGAAAGTTTTTTTTAAGTTTAGGAAGACGGGACGCGAAAGTTCGATTTTCTTTCCGAGATTCTTCGAATGTCACGAGATAATGAATAAATCAAAGGTTCTGGTAGATGCAGATACTGCGCCGCGGAAAGTCTGTTCCGCCGTTCCGTAAGCCGCTTAATTGCGAAGGCTGCGAGAATTACGAAGATAATGGCGAGAAGGATAGCCGATTAGGAGGGAAGAGAATAGACCGATATTCGACGTAACCATCCCACCCTTTCGGGATTTCGTATTGTTCGCGCGGCTGTTATTGGCGTCGGCCCACGACTTTTAAGCAACGGCGAATAATTAGCGCGGCCCTCGTGAAATTCGTATAATAAGTAGAGGCTCGTTGTTATTCGTGCGCGAAGCGGTGAAGCAATAAGATGAATATCATCAAGCGCCTTTGGAATCCGTCTCTTCTTTGTGGATTCACAGAAACGCTCGGTAATATCCAGGGTACGCGCGATGAAATAAAATTATATATTAAATATAATTAAAAAATAATATGAAGATGCATGGAAACAAGTTAGAAATATCGTAGATTTAAAAATGCTCCGAAGACTTTTATATATGTAAGACGCGTATAATCGTTTATACTCTGTTAAATTCCTCTTTTGTGTATTTTTTAAAATTAAAATTATATTATATGAAATTTTAAATTTATATAATACAATTTTATTTTATCTTATATTAAATATAATTATATTTAATTTAAAAAATACAGAAAATAAGAACTTAATAGGGTATATAAACACGTACACGTGTCTCACATATATATGAAAAATAAAATTAAAAATTAAAAATAAATAAAATTATATATTAAATATAGTTATATAATTAAAAAATAATATGAAGGTGCATGGAAAAAAGTTAGAAATATCGTAGATTTAAAAATGCTCCGAAGACTTTTATATATAAGACGCGTATAATCGTTTATACTCTGTTAAATTCCTCTTTTGTGTATTTTTTAAAATTAAAATTATATTATATGGAATTTTAAATTTATATAATACAATTTTATTTCATCTTATATTAAATATAGTTATATTTAATTTAAAAATACAGAAAATAAGAACTTAATAGGGTATATAAACACGTACACGCGCGTGTCTCACATATATATGAAAAATAAAATTAAAAATTAAAAATAAAATAAAATTATATATTAAATATAATTATATAATTAAAAAATAATATGAAGGTGCATGGAAAAAAGTTAGAAATATCGTAGATTTAAAAATGCTCCGAAGACTTATATATGTAAGACGCGTATAATCGTTTATACTCTGTTAAATTCCTCTTTTGTGTATTTTTTAAAATTAAAATTATATTATATGGAATTTTAAATTTATATAATACAATTTTATTTATCTTATATTAAATATAATTATATTTAATTTAAAAATACAGAAAATAAGAACTTAATAGGGTATATAAACACGTACACGCGCGTGTCTCACATATATATGAAAAATAAAATTAAAAATTAAAAATAAAATAAAATTATATATTAAATATAATTATATAATTAAAAAATAATATGAAGGTGCATGGAAAAAAGTTAGAAATATCGTAGATTTAAAAATGCTCCGAAAACTTTTATATATGTACGACGCGTATAATCGTTTATACTCTGTTAAATTCCTCTTTTGTGTATTTTTTAAAATTAAAATTATATTATATGGAATTTTAAATTTATATAATACAATTTTATTTCATCTTATATTAAATATAATTATATTTAATTTAAAAAAGACAATAAAAATTTAATAGAGTATAAACACGTACACGTGTCTCACATATATACGAAAGTCTTCGGGGTATTTTTAAATCTACGATATTTGTAGCTTTTTTTACGTGCACTTTCATATTATAAAAAAATGGATCTTACAAATGATCAAATCCACTCTTGCTCCCGAACCGCTATAATTTGCGCGCGTTTCGTTTGTGAAGGAGAGTAATGATGTAAAAGTAACAATGTAATCGCGCATCTCCGAGGAGCTGCAGCCGCAAATGACGGCCACTTTATAATCATTAGCGATTTTAGAAATTCGATTCTCGAGTAATGACGTGATAGACGAGGAGCGTCTATAGATCTCACTTTGCGGTCCAGAGGACGGATGCGAAGAGGGAAAGGAGTGGGAAAGACAGATTGCATAGATGCAAGAGATGCGGAGATGCGAAAAGGGGGCACGGCTGTGTTATGACATAATTGCTTAAGAAAGTTCGGAACGCTTACACACACACACACACACACATATCTCTGGTGGAAGTAGTCCATGCCGTTACGTACGTTTCGCAAACCTTGTCCATGACGCGTCGCGCTCATAATCATTTCTTGCTCCCTTTTACGCGGACGAGATATAATTAAATTGTGCCCCACGCGCGGACAGGAACGTCGGCATCTCGTCCTCTGCATTTTTACGCTGCCAGTGACCTTCCCCTACTTCCGCGAGCGTAGTCGAACGGTTCTTCACCTTTCCGGCGAAATCTTGCTTACATATATGTATGAATGAAAGAAGAGAGCCGATAAAAACAAAAATCATATGGTCGAAAATATTTTTCTCTCTCGCGTAAAAAAAAAAAAAAAAAAAAAAAAACAGCTTCGTAACGTCAAATTTATGATTTTACGACAATCATCCGCGATGTCAGAAACATGTACGTAAGAGAAAGAGATGATATCTCTCTCTTTCATATACGTTTGATGAATAAATATTATTTAGAAATTAGCTTTCTCCTCCTCGAACTTTTTTTTATTTCCGGTATTTGCAATGATTTTTACGTCGACGTTTCATTGACCGCATTAGAACAAGGCATATCTCTGCTCGATATTTTACAATTTTCGTAACTTTCCTTTTCCTCTTCTCTCGATCATTAGCGTCGTTTAAGGCTTGTACAACCATCATCGAAGATGCGCGGATTATCTCTGCGTGCGCGAAGAAATCGTTCGCGTCCAAACTGATGTATATATATATAACGCGAGAATACTTTTTGTATTTTTGACTCGAGTTAATTGACAGGAGAATTAATGACACCGCAGCCTTTCTCACGACTTTCATCTAGTTTCATCCGGCATCTAATACCATTCAGTCTAGTTTCATTGGGCAACACGGAGTGGATACACACGTATACATACGATTATCCGGCAAAACGCGTTCATTTTCGTTTCCGGTTTCGGTATATGACAAGACCGGTTCGTCGACACACGATCGTGGCCCATGATCGTATGCTGGTGAAACGGGATTTACGGGGAAAAAGGTAAAACTGGCCGCGAGCTATATTCCACGGACCGTTGCACCTCGTAAACCCGCCGTTTTGTGGCAAAGTGCGAAATAATTAAATCTCGATTAACAGAATTACGACGCGTCGTCCTGCTCCGATCCGCAAATTCACGAGAGATCGTCGCACGTCATCAATTCGCCGGTTATTCCGTTTATTTCGTTCGAACACGTCCGCCTTTTTCAGTCAGCCAAAGAGTGCAGTGAAGTCAATTTCGGTTGATGACCAGTTAAAATAAAAAAAAAAAAAATAGACAATATCGCGCTGCGATGTTTCGCGTGCCTAAAAGTGAAATTCGATAATTTGAATCGGCGCCGAAACAGTCTAGAATAAATATTTACGTTCGCTCATTTAACGGAACCGCTTCAATTATATTCGTACGTAAGTTGACTAGTCGGTGAAAAGAATAGTAAGTTCTTCACACACATAGAAATTGAAAAAAAAAAGAGAACATTATAGAAATTTTATCCGCATGCTCGATCAAACATTGTAATTATATATCTTGAAAAAAAACCTGTTATTTTCAACTAGACACAATTCAGTGAGAAAATGTACTCGAAATTATGATACAGTAAAAAATGTACGAGAGAACACACAACGTATAAAGCAGAAAATAATTGCACTAATTAATTGAAGAGAAAGACAGAGAGTGTGTGAGAAAGAGAAAAGTATCATTTGTATAAATTATGACAGTTTAAAAAGGCGCGTTTTAATCGTAAATGGGGTATTAGAGCTGCAGAGCAGTGGAAAGCAGAAATGCACACGTTATAGGATATATATACACGAGGTCTCTCGAGTTAACTGTTGCGAATATCCGAGAGAAGCGTGTCAGTTTGAAGTAAAAGCTGGACGTTCAGCGCCGATGGACTCTACGACAGACAAATCGACACTTATTCGGTCTCTCTTTACCCAGGTTTTCCGCCTTTCTCTCCGAGATATTCGATTGTCAAAGAGAACAGGTGAAACTTCAGGGTCAAGTTCGTCGCGATTGTCAATCCTGGGTATAGAAAAGAATACGAGTCCGCGTCGCTCCATTTAGCTCGCGAGAAAAGACGCGCGAAATTTTCTTGTCCTTTCCATTCATACTCTCCTTACGAGAGAGAGAGATCACTGTCGCCGCTCGATTAATTTCTCTCCGCGATTTAAGCAAAAGTTGTAAAACTTTCGGTCTCCCAGTTTTTAGCGTGAAATTTTAAGACACATTCCACCACAACGCTACTTTCGGATTATGTCGAGATATATACATATATATATACCGCGAGAGGATGTAAAATCACGTCGCTTGTTTCACTGACTTACTTTCGCGATCTATAAGCGAAATTGGTGTAGGTATCTCGCGCGCGAAAACAACGATGAGATATTTAACGAGCGTGCGATTACTATGTATACGCGCGTGATGTTAATTAATTATATACGCATCTCGACGTCTGTCTGCAACAGGCGAGATGCCGATGTCACGCATGTGGACACGGGTCTGTTTCACTTCGTCGCTCTTCTTTTTATTTCGCGAACGCCTTCTAAGTGGACCAAAGAAATCGTTTATCGGCGCGACGGAAGTGGGTTACGAGCGCGCTTAGCGGCTTCAGCGCGAGATGCGCGATTAATTAATCGAGAAAAAAATGCGCGAGATGCGTGTGGCGCCGCGAGAGATTGCGCGCCGTTCATCGAATCGTTTCGACAAATTGGGATTTCGAACGGCGCAAACAATGCGCGGCGCGAAATCATTCGTTCCAAAACAATTCGACGGGAATTTACGTCGATTATTCCCTCGGCGCGGAATCAAATTTTAGAGAGTAAAAGAAAAATACGTCGCGTATAAATTGCAGAATATTAATATGTATGAATTGTATTTTCGCATATGTTCGTTCATTATGCTATCTGCACACAATGAAAATATTTAAACGGCTGAAAATAATTTTTTATTGCACATCGCGAGATACCTATCTTTTGGAAAAATGTTTGAAAAACGACATCGACAAACGTGTCTTTCTCATAGAAATTTTAATAGGAATGTTACTTACCTTGGAATTAATATCGCATATATCGCTTAAGTAATGAGTAAAAGTGGCATAAAGAAATTATGTATGCAATAATAACAAACATCATTTACTACAACGTTGCAATTAATGCTTTTAATAGATCTCGGTGACACTTTATTCTTGTTCTATAATAATCAGTTTCTTTCTTACTCTCAGTAGTGCCGCGCTACGATGATAATGACTGTAATAATCATAATAACAATAATCAGGATAATAATTGTGAGTCGTTGGTTGTAAAGTGGCGTCGGCTTATTATAATTAATTTTTTTAAAGATCCCCAGTAAAAGAGACAGAGAGAGAAAGAGAGAGAGAAAGAGAGAATAATGAGATACTTTGTATTCACTTTCTTACGTTTAGGTCCCATTCGATCACAATGGGCGATCTACGATTCATTTTTCCTTCGCGAGCCATTTTACAATCGCACGCTCGTACATGTAATGTTATCAATAATCGTACAATTATATAATGTATATGTAGAACAGAACTGCAACTATATATATGAATAAGGACCGAGGTTCTAGTCCGCGATTTGAGCCGTCTTCGAATTGAAAGTTGCGTCTCGCGAGATACATAATTTATAATACAGGTCAGATTAAATTACAGAATAAATATGATCGCGAGAAAAAAATCCCGAGAACGTTTTTTCCCGCGAAGAACAGAATCGCGGCTGTGGAATCGTTTCCAACAAAATTCAATCAATTGTTTCGAATTATTTCCCACTGACTGGAAAACTCACACGCGTCACATTAGATCGATCGTGTATAATCGATGCGATCTTTTTCCCAACAATCGTGCGTTTCCGCCAAGAGTTTCCCGTTAGTCTCCCTTGTAACGTAACTCTGTATATTCTGGGGGATAGATATTGAATTTCGCGTCGTCAGCAATCTGATACCGAACGTTTTTTTTTTTAAATAACGACCGAGAGACGCAACTTTAAACTCAACGACAGAAAAATTTTCTGGATTTTTCTGAATATTCAGAACTTTTCATTTCTTTGCACACTTAACATATTTTTCCTATACAATCCTAAAGATGCGTCGATTGCGACATTTTTGTAGCATTACACAATTAGCGGCTACGTTCTAATGAATTTGATAAAATTTTAAAATAAGATAACTGTGCAAATCAATTAAAAACTTGAACGAATCTTTTCTATGTTAACAAAAACCCTTATATAAACTATAATGAATAATAATTCATTTAATAAGTGAAAACATAAGCTTGTGATAACAAATGGAAATTAGAATGCAGTTATAATATAAAAAAGAGTAAATTAATAAATTTTTTTGCAAGAGAAAGAAACAAATGTAAAAATATAAAGAGAAAGAGGAAAAGCATATAGAAAGAGAGGAGCAATTCTGCGATATTTTTGTAAATTAGTGTAAAATAAATTTGAAGAGACAAGATAGAAAGTCTGCTACACGCATCTTTACCTAATCATATTTTTTTCCAATAATGATCTAAATACTGTTCGCTTCGATTTTCAACGTCGTGCTTACATTAAGTTTCGCTCTATTTTTCTCTGCTTTCTGAAAATTCAAGTTTCAGTATACAATAACACATTTTATAATATGTAGAATAATTAAAATATTCTTCTATATAACGCGTTACGATATACTATATACTATGTAATAATAATAATAATAATAATAATAATAATAATCGTAGACTAACAATTTTACTGACGATGATACTCATCTTCGAGACATTGACGCGTCGCCCGAGACAGGATCGACGACTTTAATAACATCTCGCTACGATAAACTATGCAAAATTCAAATGCAAAACGTTCCACGAGAACGTGCAATCATTCATGCGATGAGAGATACGAACGATTCGATAAATAAACACGTGTTCCGCGATTCCTATTATATATAGATTCTATATTATTTATAATATATATATATATATATATATATATATATATATATACATATATATATATAATATATCTATGTATTCGCATATAATTTCTCTTTTTTTTCACTTGTTCTTTTTTCCTCTTCTTCTCTCTGAAAATCTCCGTATTAATATATAATATTTATAAGGACTAGTTATGTATATATATTATAGATTTAATTTAACTATGTGTATTTCAACAAGCCAGTCTAGCTTTGCGACGCGTCACCCGTCGTGACTTGACAAGCGTCGGAGCATAAAGAAAACAAATAACGCTTGAACACTTCGGAATGATCCGCCATCCGTTGGTGTTGGCAAACGTCTCGCGATTATATAATATTATTACGCTACAACGAGATCGCGCGAGGATGACCTAACCGAAGCCCACCACTTAACTAGTGATCTCGCTCGACGTTCGACGCGACTGCTCCCTTTGACCCTTGTCAGGCTTGTTAGCGCGCGAAAATGGGAGAGATCTCGTCTCGTTATCTCTTATTATCCCTATCAATTTTTAGGCGGTATTCTTTTATCTTATTAGCGATAAATACACGATATTATACGATGTACGAGTCGCCAACAATATCCTGCGCGCTTATTTATGTCAAAGTTACACGTCCTATCGCGTTTAAGATTTAAGAAATCACGGGTAGATTTATCCTAATATATATATATATTTTTTTTTTATATTATGTCACTATATCTTATATATCGCGTATCCTGTTTCTAATCTTAATCTATTATAAATTAAGCTACATGTGTGTTACAAAATTGTTATCTATCTACCGATTTTATTAAACGGATGTGGCCGACGGTGCATCTTATATTCTACGCGAAATTCTTGGATAAATGAGAAAATATTTTTAACGAGGATATATATATATATATATATATATATATATATCGAAGTTTTCTTAACACTGCGCGTATATTTTTTGACGTAGCTCGTACATCGTTTTTTCGCGCTTGCCTTATTAATATTGAAAAAAATACAGTATGCGACACAGTATATATGTATAATAACGTTACGTCAGCCATGACAATGGGAGCAGCCGTGACGCGAGCGAAAGCGATAATTAAGGCGAGAAACCGCCGATCTTCACGAGCGAGACTAGAATCTTATCTTTAAAAAAAAAAGAAAAGGAACGAAGAAAATATATTAAACGGATATACCCGAAAAAACGCTATTAATCGCCTCTACTATTTGCTTGTCTTAAGTATATAAGTTGTAGTACGAAACATACAAGCGAGTTCGGTTTTGTATGAAGATACAAGGGGAGCGACGTCGTATCTCTCCAAAGTGAAGAGAATAGAGATATTTCTCTTGATATTGTATATATAGACTCGTCGAGATTATTATTATCGATTTATACGCCTGTTCTACGCGAAATTCTCCTCATCATTATCGATGATAACGTGATTACCTCGCGATATATAATTATAACAGTGAATGTGTATGTGTATATATATATACATATATAAATCTATATATATATATACGTATAAGACGATAAGATGTTGCATATCGGAGCTATATTTGCACGAGCACGAGCATCGGTAGACGGAATCATTTGCACAAACCCACGTTGACGAAATTTAAATCTGCCATGTTTGACAATAATCGCGCACGACGATGATCGATGACATGTCCTCGAAGTTCTCCGTTTCGGCTTCATCGAAATGATGCACATGCGTTATGTGTATCGCCGCGCTTTATCGTGCTTTACCTCAGCCCTCGTATCATTTTTCACTTCTCGTGTTGCACGCGAGTTCGAACGGCAAGATCGATTGGCGACGCTGGGCGTATAACTAATAGAGCGAGTCGCGCGATTTTGCACGCGGCTCCCGTAACGAAGGTACTTATGGTTATTAAGACATTTGCATTATTTTCTTTTTACCTATATATCACACTAGAATCCACGATGTCTGTAGATGCTTCTTCGTACGTCGGGACACGCATCGAGAGTTCCGCCCGCAGAACCCTGAAAGATGATTTCACTCGACTTTATTGACAGCTCCTCAGCATCGTCATACATTCTTGGCTCTTGAATCGATTCACATTAGAGATTGCCGCTCGATAATTTCGGATCAGCTGATTAGTTATCGAGAAAATGACGCGTTCGCCTTACCTGTCATTGTTTGGCGGATTTATACCTAGCCAGCTTCAGCTGCAGCGGATTGGATATCTTTAGATGAAAGGCGATGTCGTCGAAGGAAACGTCGCGTACATCCAATCCGCTGATCGTTATGAGATGATCGCCCTTGCAGATCTTGCCAGTTTCGATGGCCTGACCGCCTGGCATCTGCAGAGACAAGAATCAACATTAGAATGTCTCGGTAATAATATCGCTTGATACAGAGTGTTTCAGAACTGGCGGAAAAGTTTTTAATGGCAGATTGCTTGTATCATTTGAAAACGATTTTTCCTCAGCGAAAATATCGAGAAATACAGTATCCTTCATAACTTTGGAAACACCTTACATTTTACAGTTAAAAAATTGCATGGCAGCGATCTGTTATAAATAAAAATGTCATTTAAATATTTTACGTTTATTTTATGATTGATTTATACAAAAAATCTACACAGATCTGTCAAAAGAACCCTCTTAATTTAAGAGAAAAATTCTCGAAAGAAATTTATTGCATACAGTACCCTTCACAAGTTTGGAAACACTTTACATTTTACAGTTAAACAATCGCATGGCAGCGAGCTGTCACAAATAAAAATGTCATTAAATATTTTACGATTTATCGATACAAAAAATCTACACAGATCGCTGCCATACGATTGTTTAACTGTAAAATGTAAGGTGTTTTCAAACTTGTGGAGAGTACTGTATAATATTAACAGAACTACAATCTTCAGTTAATTTTAGAGTTTACTTTAATAGAATTTTTTAATTTAAGGCTTAGTTATAAAGATACATAATAGCAAAAATTGGAAACATGCTATGATCTTTCTCAGCATTTTCACTAAAGAAAAATCGTCTGCAAATGATACCAGGAATCTGTCATTGAAAACTTTTCTGGAACACCCCGGATAATGACAGAATCGAGGAAAAACGAGACCACATACCAGCTCCGTCACGTAAGCTCCCTTGCCGCTTCTAAACGCGGAGAAACAAATACCCGCACCTCTGCCGCTCTTTTTCTGTATCTCGATCTCGTATTCCTCGGTCGGTTTCTCGTGGCGTAATACCGTCATTGTGATCTACAAACGAACGAATCGAGCGTGAACAATGGGCATCACTCATTCGCTCGATCAATTCAATGAGAGAATTCGCTGAGAAAATATTAGAGCGCGCAATAGTTGACGCTAGTTTTCTCTTTCGTGTTTTCTCTGTTAGGAGATGAGATTGATCATTCATAAGAATGCAAGTCATACTTACAATTCCGGAAGTGAGCTTCAACATCGCCTCGCGAGCTTTGTGGGATTCTATTTGTTTGAAACTCTCGTGGCCTATACTAAGAATTTGATCGCCGAGTTGCAATCGACCATCCTTTCCAGCCGCGCCTTCGGGAAATACGTCCAGAACGAACACTCCATTCTAGAAAACAAAATTTAGCATACATTAATATCAATATTTATATATATATATATATATATATATGATGTATAAAATCAATACATGAATATTTCTATCGTTATATTTCATGTATATTTAAATGTTTCATAATTAAGCTTATATATTAAATTAATAATAATGCAAAATATTTATATATATATATATATATATATATATATATATATATACGTTGAAGGATAAAATATCAGATTACAAAAAATATATCGAATATGTGCTCACCCAGAGAGTATCAGAACCTCCAGCGATGACGATACCTACGACGTGGTCCTTTTCTTTTTGAAACTCTATCGTCACTTCTTGCCCGACTAGTATTTGACAGGTCTTCGGATCCTGCTTGATTTTGTCGGATTCCGCTAGTTTATCCGCTTCTTTGGCAGTTGCTGATAGAGCAGAAGATAACAGATCGTAATTTTATAAACGAAATGTAAATATGTTTTGTACGTAATTACGAGTTTCCATATCAGAGACATAAACATTTATTATCACCACGTCGTTAAACTTACCCGGTGCACTTCTCTGTGGCGTCTTATGCGCAGTATCACTAGTTTCAATTCCAAGTTTAGTCTTATCTTTCTGGTCTACTTTATTCTCGTTAGGATTACAAACCGTCAGCACAACGACGCCCTGCGCCTTCTTCAATAACTCCGTAGCCTAAAGAAACAAAAAAATCGATGAAATAAGCATGTAGCTTTAGCAGCTAGATAGATCGAACAATTCTTTGCTTGTATATGAGAGAAAAAAAAATACCTCATCATAAGTGCGTCCTATTAAACTATCCATATTAACGGCCAGGATCATGTCGCCCATTTTCAGTCCAGCCTGGAATATTATAAAAAGTTTCGAGTTAAAATGGGACTCCGGGGACGTTTGTACGAGTGGGAAATTACCTGTTCCGCGGCACTGCCGTCTTGAATATCAGACACGAAGATACCCTGTCCCACGGCTAGATGTTTTCCCTCGATGATCATTATTCCTAGACCATACGGACTCTATATACAAACGACAGAGTCGATGGTTAGTATTAAAAAATACTCGACACGTCGCGCGAAATATGTTGGATCGATGCAATCAGTGTTACGCGTAATTATAAATACTCGCCTTCTTTATTTGCACCTCACGGACTCCCTTGTACTTATTGAAGCTTGTAAAGTTCTGAAAAATAATAACATCGTCACGTCACGTCACGGCAATATGACATTATCGCAGTTGCATCGTTTACGATGCATCCCGTATATTTAAATCATGCGAGCCGATTTTCAGGTGTAGTGTTATTTGTACCAATTAACTGCAATTGAATTATGATCGTGTTGCATCGAAGTAGTCGACATATTTTCACAATCTTGCTATTTCGAGAAATCGGTGAAAGCTAACAACGATATTACTATCTATCATAATAAGTATGTAGTGTCGTACCTTCATGCGAAAGTCAAATATCTCGACAGGAATTTCAGAGAGTTTCAGGATTTTTTTTTAATTCGTCAATCATTTTTTTGATGAGGACTTTAAGTGGTGATAATTGTTCTTCCCGTATAAGATATTTTACATCAATTGTGATTCATCAAACACCTCGTATCGTATAAATCGATAAATGTTTGATTGGAATATTTCTAGCTACATTATTGTTATTACTAGAAATCACATCGATCATTTACATTTATTGAAATGATTCCGCAGCATCTCATCATAGACGTTGTTCAATTACGCAATGAACGTGGATTGTATTACCCGACATTAATCGCTTCCCAACGACGCGGTATTTTACGAAAATTGCAACTTGTCTTGCATTATCTCTGCGAACGATGGCAAGATAAAAGATAAACGTGCAAACTGACTTACGTCATCCAAGGTTGGTGGAAATTGAACTATCGGCTTTACGGCGATGTCATCGACAGCCTTCGATCTTCTGCAAGCGGGACAGGCGAAATCCGTTTATAGTTTTAATGAATTTTGTTATACATGTCGTCTACGTCACGCGTTATACATCACGGAAAAAGCACTTATGTCTCACCGATAAACGATGATCTTGAAGCGAGTGCCGGGTATGCCTTTGATAAGAGCGGACGCGTTCAAATGACACCGTCCTTGCAACACGCAACCGTTCACCTAAATGGAATGGAAAATATAAAGTCTTTTTGTGGTTTTTGTTTTTGTCATTTGTATCGACGAGATGAAACCTGTTGCAAAAATATCACGGCAATTTGTGACATTTGAGCTGACAACAAATTTTTTTTGATCATTGCACGAGCAATAAAGAGGTGAAAAATGAAGCAAATAAAATAGAAAATAAAGCCACACATTTTCGTTATGAGTTGTTTTATATAATATATATTTTTAAAAATTCTAAATAGTTTAATTAAATGTCAAAATATATAGAACTAAAAATATATATGTACATTACGTTAAAATTTACTTGAGCTTCACTTGCTTTTCTTAATTGACAGATTTTTTTAAATGAATCTATTTAAAGATACTTAATATCGAAGCGTCAATAAAATTTCTAGCTATAACATATAATATATATATTTAAAAAAAAACTGTAAATACTTTAATTAACTTTAATACGTGTACACATCTGGAACGCTAGTGTCATTATATTTTACGAACAGTTTTACACAGATAAACTAAACAACTCGTGAAGCAAAAGTTAAACAGCCCGGCGAACCTTCGGGGAACCGTCATATATAAAGAATTGCGGTCGTAAACGGTGAGTCGTAAAAGCGGGAAGAAAGGAGAGTAAGATATATACCCACCTCTAATATCTCGTCGCCGATGAGGAGCCCGCCGTTTTTATAAGCTGCACCCTTCGGATTGAGGCCGCAAATAAACACCGCCATTCGGTTTCTGTCCTTATGTCCAGCCAAGGAGATACCCAATCCCCGTCTGTCCTTGTCGAGGGTGACCATGAGCACTTTATGTCCCAAGTTTTGATACTTCTTCTGTATCTTCTCTGCGAGATGAAGAAAGAAAAACAAGCATTTTGACGTGTCGACCAATACAAGTCCAATCTAATGCACGCTTCGTCGGAGATTTCGTGTGCTCGCGAATTAAAATGATCCTTCTCGCAGTATGTAGATGGATAATCGGAGATGCAGTGAAATTGAATTTTGCTAGCATTATCAGCGGCCGCCACGCAACCGACGGTGCGATCGTATAGAATGAATATTGATTTCGTATGTGACGCAAATAGTATATAAATACCACAATTCTCTCAATTGTTTCCCTCAAAACCTGTGTGCTACATTTAGCACAAATATCGTACTCACTGCTCGTATAGCCGAACTCGTCCTCTTCTTCCGGATCCGCATCGATCTCCGCTTTCGTGCGCTTCACGTTTCCGGCGCTTTTCCTCGAGATCTACGTCAAGCCATTTTTTTTTATAGCGCGTTTTATATCATCGTCCTTGCGAATCGAGAGTGTAAGATATACCCATCCAGCAAACACAGTATATAAATGTTATATACTTAAGCATGTTACATGTAACGTATATGTTAGTTGTAATTTCCCACTCATAGATGTAACATTTTTAATATTACATATATTACATTGTAATTATATTGTCATTATATCCCAAGATAGCACTGACTTATCAATACATTAATGTGCTATTTGGTATATAATATTATAATTTGGTATATTGTAGTTATATTGTCATTATATCCCAAGATAGCACTGACTTATCAATACATCAATGTGCTATTTGGTATATAATTACAATATAACTACAATGTAATATATGTTATATTAAAATGTTACATCTATGAGTGGGAAATTACAACTAACATGGATGTTACATGTAACGTACACGTTATACAATATATTACCTGTTATATTCCGTTTTATTATAGCAATGTAACAATTATATATCGGTGTTTGCCGGGCACTATCGGTACGTTTCGATTACCTCGATGCCGCTCTTCGTGTAGACGTTGCCCTCCAGCATTCGCGTATCCTCCTCGTCCTCGTCCGAGCTTTCGTCCGAGGAATATTTGGGTTTCGTAGCAGGTTCTGCGGTAGAGACGGCATGATCCTCTCGTTCCTCGCTGACCTCGCGAAGGATCCCCGGAGGGTTCACCGGTGGCGAAGGGGCTGTTTTTCGAATTGACTTCTTCATGGAGGATCTGAGGCAGCGCATGAAAGATATATACACGCTTTTGTGATTCGGAAAAATCGGAAGAAAATGAAAAATCCAAATCTTTCTAGCAATCATACCTTCGTGAACTGGGAGTTGAGCCATCTGAACTTTTCGAAATCTGTCTTTGGGAATCTCCGCGCGAACTGCTTTGAGCGTCGCCGTCCTCAAGTCCTGGCTGCACAACAAATAGATATTTGAGAGAAATGTCCTATATCGGTAAAATATTGCAATATTTATTCTCTCGCGAAGATGATATAAATTGCAACGATGCAATCCCCTTAAGAAATTAAATGCAAATATCAAAAGTACGTGGATCTATATATGAAACAAATATTGGCAAACCGCGTGGATTAATTATTGAGATGCGCTTTTAAAACGCTCGCACAAGTGCGCGATTATCGTCTGCATTCATTAAATTATGATAAAAATAGATTTTGCCATCGTGCGAAGAAAAAAGCAGCAGTCCGCTGACTCAATTAAAGAAATTAATTAGCGCGGAACCTCGCAAGTCTCCCGGCGCGTGAAACTTCGCTTCGGCCTTTTCCCATTTACCAATTAGTGCAGCAATTGTATTTGTCCCTCATGTTCGACGCATTCGCGGAAAGCAGATTGAAGAAACGAATCGTGCGACGTATTTTTTTAATTGATTGGAACGGTTATTTGCTAGAAATTGTTACAATCGATTCTCTTCGGCATTTATTGCAAAATATAATACAACAGAGGCAGTCATCCATTAAAGGTTTTATCTTTGAGAATTTTCATTATTGTTTGTAATACAAAATATAAAAATAACAATATGTTGCATCGAATTGCAATGAATTTATTGTTATTGGAATTTTGATTATTTTCGCGAGTGAAACTCGAGGATTAAAAATTGGAATAAAAAAAAATGTGGGAGAAAACCGAACCTGTATCACTTCTGGCGTGATGGATCTCGCCGGCGAAACCGGCGGTGGTTTATGGCGAAAGGAGGCCGTCGGTGGCGTTCCAGGGCTGACGCCGGAAGACGGCGACGTATGACTCTTGACAGTTTGCCTCCGGGCCTTGGTATCTCTTTCCTCTTGGACGGCACTGCCGTGCTCCGGGCTCTGCAACAATTTCAAGATTCTCTCTTCCGCTCGGAAAGCTGCTTCCTATGCACGCAAGCCAGCTTAAGCTCGTCCCAATTTAACGTTAAATTCAATAACGTTTAAACTCTATTCATTACGTTCAATTTCCGATATTGATACTACATATAAAATTGTATTAATATTATATATATATATGTGTAAAATGCAGAGCTGTACGCACACAAATTGAAATGTATCTTTCAAACAGTTAAATGTCATTAATTTTATTCATCGAACAAATAAAGTAATAATAAAACGAGAGAATGGTAAAATTCAGATTTATATTAAAATTGATATATTATGCAGAATTCTCTCGTTTAAAATTTCAATCGTAAAATAGAACACGATGGAAGAGATGCTGGACGACATTAAGCAGTTTACGAGCTATTATATTCTAAGACCGACAGCTCAGTTGTGGAGACACTTATACGGCGACGGTGAGTTTCTTGACACAAAAAGAGAGATGAAATTGAAGAAGTAAAGAGAGAGAAAGAGAGGAAAATACGTGGACACTGTTCCACGCGCATAGAATTGTTTCGAAGACCTATAATACTTATTTTAGCAACGACGTAAACTGCACAGGACCGTTTGGATAAACCGGTCAGAATGAATTAGTACAACGGAAATATTTGCTGAATGTCTTGAATTGTTGCCAAAGTAACTGCAATTGAACGAGTTTAATTCCGTAACGCGTAAAACAAAGGTGTATTTCAGATTCTCTCGATTTCTTCTTCTAATATTCTTCTCTCCAATTCTCTTCGCAAGAGTATATAATCGAAGTAGGAAATCGATTATTTCGACAAGAGATTACGATTTAATATCTTATAGAATAATAATAAATAATGAGAGTATTATATTGAGATAAAATGTTGTATAATTATACGCAAAATGAATGATATAAACATCTGCGTGAGATATCGACTATAAAAATAATTTATGTCTCTTATAATTTTTTCTATACAATACATGTATTATTATCACTTTTCGAAATAATCGATTAAAAGATACGAACGAGGCTTGTTGCACATTCCACGGGATAGATATAGAGGAAATGAGAAAAATTGCTTCTATTTTCGATAAAATCGAAATTGCAAATCAGATTAAATTAAACAATATAACATAATTTTTAACAGGAATGTATGTATAAAAATATGGATGTCGATATCGACGATATCCAGCTGTCAAAAAACGATGCGACACGTATTCGTTTCTTCATGACGATGTAAATAATTCAGTCACACAGGCAATGTTTGCTGATTAATTTCCTCCTTGTGTTGTTTGAGATTAAACATGCGCTATTAAAAAACGCTCTATACGATCACGTGGTGATAATTGAAGCTAAATACAGCAACGCGTGAACCACTAGCTCAAACTCAAATTCATCAGCCTTTAACTCTCGTCGGAGACGCGCACAAGGCGAAATATTATATCGATCTCAAAATTTTCGTGCTGCTCCTCACACAGTTTAATCAATCAAAGATACCGTTAGCACGATATATCTATCCGCGCTCGCTTCTCGGCATTACTTAACATTTAATCTCAAGGCTCCATCTCCCAGCGGAGCACACGCTCGCGCGCACGTTTATCTATATCGTAAACCAAAATAACCCCGGGTTTACGATACGGTTTACAGTTCGAGGAAGAAGAACGCACGTTTCACTTCGCGCGGATGCACAAATGTCGATGCGATGCACCAGTTGCGCGTCGCGCGATCCATCGCGAAGGTGCGCCGACGAGAGTTAAGAGACGACGTGTCTAAAAAAAAAAAAAAAAAAATAAAAAATTGAAAAAAAAAAAAACGACGAGAGAGATTCCGGTTCGCTTCTTCGCTCGCGAGAAAAAAAAAAACGTACGACGAAGGTGACGCATTTGCGTCCGAAGAATCGGTGCATCGCGCCGCCTCGTGACAATCCGAGCCGAGTGACATCGGATGAACGTCGACCGGGCGGTTTCGTGCACGAAACTGAAGTTGTTGCACGCGAGAGCGACAACCGGGGGATGCCGTTGTTCATACGGGGGCGCGCATCGGTATATCCGACGGGGGATGGTTGGGAGGGGAAGGGAGGGTGAGCTCGTCGATGGTCCATGGGGTGTCGATGATGAGCGCGCTCGATCGCAACGAAACGTGAACCAGTCTCTCTTTTCCGGCGAATTCCGCATCAGCCATCCCTGACACTCTGACTGCGACCCTTCGCTCTGCGCTTAGATCTATACCCTCTGTCTCGATAAAGTGACAATTGAAAATAGATTTTTTTTTTCTACTCGTTTGGACGATTAAATCTCAAGATACATCGGGGGTGATTGATGCATTCAAAGATACGCGCGAATCGTTCGATTATATTCTCGTATTAATTTAGGAACGATATTTTTTCGTAACAGGGTTTTATGGATATTAGAATAAAATGGTGCATATATAATTGTTATCGATAAAAGATATGAAATTACATCGTTACTGGGTTACTCAAATTAATCGATGACGAAGAGAGAACACTTTCGTCTTGTGATGTAATCGATGGCTCGTCGACATTGTCTGAACACGTCTTTACACTATCATCTCTTCCCACCTCTCATCTATACTTTACATATTCTCTCTCGCTCGCTCGTGACACTCTGCCCCTCGCCATCCCTCATCATAGAGATTTATTGGAAAGTTCGACCCCGGTGCATCGTACGCGTACAAGAGCTGTTACCGATAATGGCTCTTTTCATACCCTCTCTCTCATCATCCGTCTCTTTCGCTCTTTACTTTGTCCTCTCATTCCATCTCATTCTTTTGCGTTTTTACTTTGCGCCTCTTCTCTCTTTCTCTCTCTATCTTCGTTTCTCAATTCTGTCGTTCACGAGCGTGTATCTCGATATCGCCATTTTCCCTGCATCGATGCTTTCGAGATTCGCCCGATTGAAATTGGAGGAAGTCGATGCAGTTTCAGAGAAACGGTCAATTGCAGCCAAACTAGCCGCAGGTTTGGTTACGACAAATAGGTGTCGTCACACTCGACACCTATGTCGAAACGGCAGTTTAATAAAATACGAATAAAAGAAAAAAAATTGTATTAGGCTGCTTCATTTCGAGCTAATTTTGACGCATCAAAAAAAATAGGTCGTGCTCTTCGGCAGGGCTGAAAATAGCGCGGCTGTTGATCGAGACCATCCATACGAGCCGGAAATTACGAGTCTCATCAGTTTTCTGTCGAACGTGTGTATCGAAATTTTTAGTTCCTCTCGGTCTATATGCTCGAAAAAAGTTGTTGCAGTCAAAACAGATATAGATAAATAAATGTTATCGTCGAGAGAGAGAGAGAAGGAGAGAGATTACGCGACCGAGTCCGAAAAACTTTTCAAATACCCTACTGAATTTATCATCCACTGCGAGAGCAAAATCTGCGTTTACGCAGCTCTGTCTGCACCGGAAAAGTATATATACAATCGTAATACAATCGGAAAAATAGACGTCAAATTTATATCTACGCCAACAACGTAAAAGTTACTTCGAGCGGGAATCCGAGCTTATAGGATTCAATAAGAGATATCGAGGAATTTTCTTCCTCTCGGCGAAAGCTCTTTCGAATCGTGCGTGCGTTTTCAACAACACTCGAGGTCGTAAAGATTCGCGCAATTGACTAAATAAAATTCCCGTAAGAAGAGCGATAATAAAAGTAGCCTCGATCGGTTCGCCCCCATGCCAAGTTGCATGCCGTGTTCATCTCTCCTATATATATATATATCGTATCGCGCACTTGCATCGCAAGTATACATCGACTGCATGCAATTTCGCGTAATGCGTCTATCGGCGACGCTTCGCCGAGAAGTAGAACGCCGAAGGTTGCCGTCGCAATTCGGTGACATTACGGAGTTCAATTTCGTCCTCGCACGGGACCGCACGACGAACGGCGGTAACGTACCGGAATCGATCGTTTATACCAGCTTAATTGCGAGGTAAAACTTTTGCACCCGGCGAATCGAGTTAACTCAACAGTGAGAGGAAGAGAGAGATTTATAATGGTGACCTCGTTAAAGGCGCGCAAATGTGGCTTTTCATTCGCGCGTACATTGTTCCGCGCGTTCAAATGCGAGCAAAATGTTATATAATAATTAATATGTGGGTTAAACTGTGTAATGAAAGTACGAGAAGTATTAATTGTTCAATTACAAAAGTTTGTTTAAATTTGCGCGTTCAAACTTTTCATATTGTCGTACACACTTGTTATAGAGACTTTCGAGAGACTTGACCGAGTGTATAAGTTATGTAATTTCGCGAGTCATCATTTTTGTCGATTGGTCTTAGATTTTATTCATTCTTTGATTGCTTGAAAAATTGTACAGATTTACTTGTATTTATATCGCGACCGTATTTTCAATTACTCTTGCAGATTGAACATAAAAAAAAAAGGAAAAGATTAGATGAAAAGTTGCAAACTATAAAACGGCGTGTAAATGTACAAGAGATGCTAGAATAAAGCAATGTCATAAATTTCAACGGTCGTAAAGGATTTACGCTGCGCGTTGTGAATTTATTTCCCCCAGGAATGTAGATGCTTTTTCATGAGCCAGGCTAAAGCTTACAATTAGTTCTAATACGTATATAACGCGAACCGCGCGAGATCGTGATAGGCAACGTTCGTAAAAGGAAAATTTATTTCACCTGTTTTTCTCGTAAGAAAAAAAAAAATTTCGCGATTTTGCTGTCAGACAATTTACACATCTTGCCTTCGATTCTTTGTATAGATCATCAGATTTTTATCCTCGTTACGAACAGTTCAAAGTCAAGTGCAATAAAAAATTAATACGTTTAATACAACAGGAAATAGAGAATTATTATAAAAATATTTGAATATGTAATGAAATCTTTTTCGTTTCGCGTTATCAGTTAGTTTTGGCCGATAGATTCTCGAACCCGAGAAGACGGACATATAGAAAATATGATTCGATATTCCTGGTCGTGACCAAAATCTCACCAGATGCACCAAGGACTGGACCAGGAGGCAGACAGGATTTCCGGCAGCCTGTATAACTTCCACCGCACGCTCATGCGTACTATGTCGCAGATCCACGCCGTCCACCTCAATTATTCTATCTCCGATCTGAAAGCACGTATGTGAGAGGGCAAATTAAATCCGAGCACGGGACGATCTCATGGCGCACAATCGTAGGCCGTTGAATCTTAATTCCGCTCAATTCGAAAATGACGGAACGCCATATAAATATGCGTGCTAATGGTTATGAAAAATTATTGCACAGAGAGAATTTTCTCTTAGAATTTACCCTGAAAATCATGCTAATCGTGCGACAATAAAAATATTACTATGTACATTAATATTTTTTATGGTAAATATTAATCAGAGAAACTCTTATACATAATTCTTCCAATACCATATTGTCGCACGATTACCATGATTTCCAGGGTAAATTTTAAAAGAAAATTCTCTCCGTGTAGAAAATTAAAGAACATATATATTGTCGACCCGGAAATGTCACGAAAAAGCCGCAATTTTCGCTTTATTATATTTTTTTTCCAACATTACAATCGCCCAGATAGAGAAAAACGAACCGGATTAAGGGTGAAGTATTTTGGCGATTGATGGGCAAAGGGTGTTGCGAAGAAAAACCGGGTTACCTTAAGACCGCCGGTTCTACCGGCCGGGCTGTTTGGCAGCACATTCTTTATGAATATCCCGGAGATATTCTGGGACTTACTGGAGCTACCGTTGTGCAGATCGACCTGAAACAAGAAATCGATCGTCAATTAAACGGTCCCGCTAAACGGGGCTAAACTGGTGGATTGATAGTGATTCAGCGCGGATTAAGCGCGTAGTTAAATTTAATCAGGAATCTGCTCCGTAAGCGTCAACCTCTGCTCCACAACTTCGTAAACTATAGGAACGACATCAGCTTCATCGTCGGCGATATTTCAGACAGGGTTCCCCATGATTTCCGATCCGAGACATCCTCCCATTTCCGTTTCAATTTCTCTCCCCCCAGTCATTTGTACTCATTAATCTCTCATTGCTTTATCGCTGCATCGTCAACAAGCGTTAATCGAATTAACGCAATTATTCAACACCACACAATTCAGCCGTGCAACGTTGGACAAATCGATTGCATTTCCCGCCGAGTAAAGAGAAACAAACGTATCGGTATTTAATTAGCAGCGAGTTCCACTCTTCTGCGATCGTTGCATTATCTATCGGTGAATTATAATCGCGCGCGCGTGCATAATATCAATTATCCGTAACCGGAGCAGCGAAATAATTATGCGATTTAACGGGATACAGAGAGTTACATTATCCAAATAACGCGCTATATATTCCGACGACGGCTTGTCTGAAATGTAATCCCGAAGAGCTTCCGAGACAACAGGAAAGAGAGAGAGAGAGAGATAGAGTGGAGGCTGAAAGGGGAGAGGTCGCCAAAACCAAAGCCGATGATCCTATTATGTCGTCTTGTCGGCTTAATGTCGGCAAAGTGTCGTTCCCCGGCACACGTTAGTGCACTTCACCGATGCAATGTGCATCGCGGGACGACATTAGCGCTATTTGATGTATGCATATACTACATTCCCGATTTTGCCGATTAATGGAAGCTTTTAAGCTCGCGTCGCGGAATCGCAATTAAATCCGCGAAACATCTGGATGTTGCCTAAAGTTACTCGAACATTATCGTATCGGTTTTAGTTAAGACCTGACATTAATTGTTGGGCATTCGAATTATTAGGTCACAAGTCATCCGAAGTGCGCCAAATAGGGATCCATCTGTTTTCGGGTTTCTAGTAGAAGGTTCGACCTACTTCGACCAAACTCTGTCCAAATGTCTCAATAGCCGTCGTAACATTCCCAATTTTAAAGACGAGCTATAAAATGTCGCGGCAATATTGGCGAACCAACTCCCGTCCATATTCTCAGCTATATTCGTGCGTTGCTAATAAAAGAGATATGAAAAATTGTGGCCCGACACGACCGCGCGTGAGAATTGGCCAATAATTCAAGATTATCCGCAATCGATCGCTGGGATTTATAAAAATAAATTTTGCAACTCTACACGTGTGTAATATGCGTATATGTAATACTCGTTCGTTGTAAATCCGAGATCAACCTTGTACTCGTAATAGCGTGAACGCAATAATTCAAAATAATAAACCGATTCAGCGATCTGGAGATGAAAGTAATGAATTACAATTAACACAATTAGAAAACACTAACCAAGAGTTTAATTTAAAATGTGATATATTATTTTATTAATATATTTATAATAATATATATTTTAGTGAATAATTTAATATTTCATAAGAATGAATCCATGTTCTCTTTTTACCAAATTTTATAGTAAAAAAATGACATAGAGCGTAATTAAATATTAAACTATATTCTATACCTTCTCGCCAACCAAGAATCTAATTTAAAATTTAATATGTTATTAATATATTTATATAATAATATAATATATTTTACTGAATAATTTAATATTTCGTAAGAATGAATCCATGTTCTCCCTTTACCAAATTTTCTTAAAAAAAAAAATGACATGGAGCGTGATTAAATATTAAACAATATTCTATACCTTCCCGCCAACGCTAACCAAGAGTCTAATTTAAAATGTAATATGTTATTAATATATTTATATAATAATATAATATATTTTACTGAATAATTTAATATTTCGTAAGAATGAATCCATGTTCTCCCTTTACCAAATTTTCTTATAAAAAAAAAATGACATGAAGCGTGATTAAATATGAAAAAAATCTAAATATCCTACCTTCCCGCCAACGATGCTGAGTCCTAAGCTGGTCTTAGGCTCCCTGTATATCTCCACCAGTCTTTCGGGGCCCCAGTGCTTCGACCAGGTGACGTCGCCATCGTGCTCCCTGTGCGTGACGGTCATGTCCCCTTTGCCCTCCACGAAGACGACCGTCGGGAACTTGCGCGGCGAACTCGAACTCGACGAGGGCGAGCTCTCGGTCTTCCTGGACGTCGAGCTGGCCGCGCGTTCTGGACGATCGCTGGTGCTCGCCTGATCAGGCTCGAGCAGCTCGTCGTCGCTGCATTGAACCGCCTTCGACTCTTGATAGGTCTGTACCTCGACCTCGCGTCGCGGACTGCGCAGAGCGTCCTCGCGCGAGGAGGATCTCGATCTGTCGGAGAGGTCCTCCGGGATGCACTGGACGCTCTTCGACTCCTGCGTCTGGTCCGATCTGCTGGGGCTGGCCGCGAGATCACCCAAGTCGTCCAACGAACACTGGACGCTCTTGTCCTCGCCCTGGGTTTGCGTCTGCACCTCCCGTTTCGGGCTTTGAAAGTATTTACGACTGACGTGGAAGGGACTGATGCTGGGTGGCTCCTCGTCGCAAGGACTCGCGCTTTGCTCCGGGCTGCACTGCGTGCCCTTTGACTCCTGTACGGTCTGCGTCTGAACGTCGCGTTTCTCCTTAGGCGAGTACTGGGTCTCCTTGAAGCTGTGCTCGACCTCGTCGAGGCTCTCTTCGTAGACCTCGCGGGTCCAGCTCTCGGGGACCGTCTTCAATAGGTCCTCTAACGAGGAAGTGATCGCCTCGTGGTACAGATGCTCCGATTGGCTCTCGAGCGTTTGGCTCTGATATTCCAAGGAGTGCTCCTTGCAGATCAGATTGTCCTCCTCGTGTCTACAGACTAATTCCTCCAACAACGGCGAGCGTTTCTCCCGCGAAGGTGTCTGTCCATAATCCCGAGTCTCCTTGATCTCTTCCCGAAAGGATGGCTCCCTTGGTTCCTCTTCTCTTCGGAGGTCCTGCGCCGGAGTCGCGACCTCTCTTAAAGGAATTGCGAGATCCCTCGGAACGCGGACTGACCCCTTGGATTCGCGTCGAACTTCGAGGCTTGAGAAATGAGGAAAATCAGAGGTCAGAGAGAGAGGAAATACATGCTGATCGCGCAATCGGACGGTTTCGTGTCGAGCGTTCAACGACGCGGCAGAAACTGCTGACACGAAACCGTCGCGGCGATAAATGAATCTTCGGCACGTTGTCGCGACGGGGATCCGATCAAGTTCAATCGGATACGATTGGTTTCTTTAATTACAACCTGATCCGCATTGCAACGTGATCGACCGCGAACATAATATAAAAGGACTGGGGCGCTACTGAGAATTATTCAATATCGTTCAACACTTGACACGAGAAATAGAAATAGAGGCAATTATTTTATCTTGGACTCTTGTTTTTCTTGGCGATTTGTAAATCAAATTAAAATTATGACAGCGTTGAAATTCTTTGTAATTCATTTTTGATAAAAATATATATGGACGATTGGATCTAATTGGAAATAAATATATATAAATTTTCGCTAAAATACGATAATTTAGAATAATTTGAAATACGTGTGTCTTTAATTGACTCGAGTATATTTGCAAAATTAATATAACTGTTTTAATAAATGCAATGAATACAAATGATGCGAGGAATGCGAGGAATATTGAACAAAACGGATTTAAAATCTTTTCCCTCTTTGTTAATCTTTTTTTTTATCCTCGCGGAATAAAAATAATTGAAGCATGAAACTTCATGTCACGGCATTGTCTTTTAACGCGATATCTTTCTCGTGGCGTGCAATTGAAATGAGAATTAATACAACGGAAACATATATACCGGAGGATAATATAGATGGGTTTATTGGTCGCGTGTGTGTAGGAGTGATATTCTCGTTGCGGAACGTGTGCACATTTTCGATATGTATACACGTGAACAGTATAAATCTCCGCGCAGAAACGTGACGAATCTACCACTGTGTTTGCTTTTAACAGAAAATTCCTCTTATTCGCGAGCGGTTGTGATATCTCTCTGGAAAATATTCCAAAGAATATTCTCTCGGGTTTCTCTTTTTCTCTCAAGAAAGAAGCTATGGATTTAATGTCGTATCTGTTATTGATATAAAATCGTACTCTCAATATTCAAGCTGTATAAACACGTCTGTGTATCTATACGGTATATGTTTTATAGCGATGGGAAATTTAAAACACGAAGCATTTCGCTTGTCGAGTCAACTCTGACATTTTTCTCATTCGTAAACATTATCCGCTTCGAATTTAACGATATTCGTTGCGTTAATTACATTTTTCCTTTGAGCAGTTTTAATCCTCTCGCACGAGGTATCTAATTTATATTAGATTGCGCGAATGTGTGTATTTGTTATACGAATTTTGCACGGAATGTACACAGAGAGGGAGAGAGAATTCCCACGAGCGCGCATATATATCGGAGCAAATGCATCAGCATCCCCTAATTTGAATAAACTATGAAACAATTTTACTTGCGAAACTCGTAGCTGAATATGAGAGAAGAAATTCGCGCACACTTGTCGATCGCGATGGCTTTTGAGACTCGTCGAGGTCAAATTATTTTCTCTTGCGCGTCTTCACGTCGTGGAGGGTGCCAAAAATTATCCGATAATAATCGATCGTTTCAACTTCCGTTATCCAAGCGAGACTTCCGGCCGGAGCGTCTGCTCAGTTTGGAGAGACATTTGACGTTTGACGTTTCGTTTGACGTTTGGCGCGAAGGTGAGGAAGGGGAAAAAAAGGGAGGAGAACGCGCGTTACACCTCGAGAAAAAGCCAAGGTTTTCACTGTCGTGTCACCAGCCAGTCTGCCTGCCTCGTGTGCGTCACTCTGCGAACTGGCTTCTTCTGATCTAATAAACAAGCCGCATACACACGCATAGACACACACTTACACGCGCGCAAGAGCGCGCAAACGCGATCACGACGACGTACCGAGCGTGGACGCACGCAGACTGCCGAAGAGGCGCGGGTGACTCGCGAGAGTATTCTAGAGAGGAAGAGGATTGACTGTGCGTGCGCGCGCTCTCTTACGCGGCGGCGTGGCTCTCTGTGTGTGTATATACCTTTTATGTATGCATGTATGTACGTACATACACGAGGCATGCGTGCATGTAGCTGGCAGCCATTCAGTATGCATATGTATGGACTTGGGTCGCATACAAGGTATCTTGACAAATTTGTATAACGAAAGCGTCTTTAGAATTTGATTCTTATATATGTACGTCGATCGGACAGGAATTTTGAATTTTGTTCATCTTTATTTAAAGTTGAAAATTACGGAAATTGAATTTTATTGCGAAGAGAGAGAGAGAGAGAGAGAGAGAGAAAGAGAGAGAGACGGAAATGTGAAATTATTTAAAGAATATGTTGAGTAAATAGAGGCGTTTGAATTAGTCGTCAAAGACTTCGTTCCTGATATACAATTTGCTCCAAATAAAATAAAGGGAAAAGTTTCTGTTTATTCATCTGTAGTTTAACTCGTTAAAATTCTCTTCTTAATTTTTAAAGTTAAATAACTCTGTGATTAAAGATCGGGTTTTATTAAAGAAATACATTTGTCTTTGACTCTTTTGAGACACCGTATGAATAGCTCATTATTAAATAAGTCGTGTCTATGTATGTGTGTATATGTGTGTGTATACCATATGGGTGTGGACAGTTTGTATTCAATTGTACGGAAGGAGTGGACGTAAACATATGCGGACATAAACGTGAGAATGTGTACACGTGCCTGCGCATAGAGTCTTACAACATAAGTAGATATACATAGCGTATATATAAATATATATGAAGAGAGAAATGAAAATGTATGCCACATTGAATGTACACATGTATGTTTGGCGCGATTGAAGATTCGTGCTGCGGAGATGTTGGGCAAAAGACCTACATATATATCCGCAATATATATATATATATATATATATATATATATATATAAGAATTTGTGCATACGTTAAATCTATGTGTATGTGTATATATAGTTTATGTACATACTCGTATAATATAAATGGATTTGCATGTAGACCGATTTCCGGATGTACCTTGATGATCACGCGTGTACTCCGAAATGTATGGCTAATGTTGGTGTACGTGCTTGGAAATTCACGTGTGCGGGTATTACGTGCACATTTATGAGTGTATGTGTGAGTGTGTATGTGTGGGCGTATATGTAGTCCGAGAAATAATCTGAACAGCTTGTATCGGTCGAGCCAATTTTCGATAAGTGACGATTCCAGAGTCGTGCGGATTTTCTCGAGATTGGTCATTCTCGAGATTTCACGCGAGAGCCGAAAATATCCTTAGCTAAATAAATCTTGAGGTCTCCAAATTACTCGCACAGGAGGGAGAGAAAACATGCAAAGGAAAATGTATAAATAAAAATAATCTGATACAATTAGCAAAATCAGTGTACGAGCAAATACAAATGACGTAATATGCTGTTGAGAGCTTCGATAACAATATCATTATGACAATTACATAAACATTACTATTTTTATATCAACAAGTCAATTTTTGCTTGTACGGTGATTAATTATTCAGTGAAAAGTGATTATTATGCAATTAGGCTGAGTGTACGTGATGCAATGTTGCTCACAAACTGTAATAATGTTACGAAGATTAAGATTGTCTCGTCGCTTAATTATAGAATGGTAATTGCAGTCTTTGTACGAGTTTCGTGCAGACGTATGCAATATACACATACATATACATATATATATATATATATATATATATATATATTTGCATGCAGCGTCAAACGCGTGTATGATAGGAACATCGTTTATGAAGGATCCTTTTACGCACAAGTGTATCGTCTTCGCATATCTCGTTCCACTTACGTACGTGTGTGCGTACAAATTGTTCGTGTACGAGGAACATAAAGGCGATAAAAGCTATCTCTCGTTCTCTTTTCCCTCTAATATCTTTCTTCGTGACCCTATTCTTTTATTCGCCGAATATGCTCTGCTCCGCAAGATCGGAATTACTGTCATCTCCTGCTTCTGACATTGTCTCTATCGTCAAGAAAATATTTAATGAAGCTTCAACTGATGGATTGTTAAGACAGTGTCTTTATTATGTAAGAAAATGACATTAATTAAGCTTGGAGTTATATCAAAATTCTTTAAATGTGAATGAGAGCTGCAACAACTGCTATTGCCAGAACAATTGCAATTAAACTGTCTTACGATGGAGAGCTTAATTGACCAGCGAAAGTGATGTCATACAATTGACACTAGTTGTAACTGATGGACTATAACACGTGTCATATATATATATATATCAACAAGTCAATTTTTGCTTGTACGGTGATTAATTATTCAGTGATAAGTGATTATTATGCAATTATGCTGAGTGTACGTGATGCAATGCATATATATATATATATATATATATATATATATATATATATATATATATATGATATATATATAATATATTTAACAATTATATTTATATATATGTATATATATATACATTTATATAGTGACGTTGATTTTACGCTCAATATTTACTGATGTTTTCCGTCGAAAATGAACGATACTTTTATAGGTCAAAGTTCACCATACATTTTTTCGCAGCAGAGAAAACTTTTGTGATTTTAACTTTCAATGTAACAAGTCTTAATATACAATTAAGCCCAAAGTTAAAATTTTATAAAAGTTTACGTGAAACTAAGCGGAAAATATTTTTAGTATTCTTTTAAATACCCCAATGGTTGAAAAATAAAGTGATTTAACTTCCATTATTCCAAATACGTGCTCTTCGAAAAAAAATATGTATATATTTTTTTATACAAATGTATATACACCACACATTCGTACACGTTTTTACTATTCTCCGTATATTTTACTCGTTTGTCTGCCTCTCGACTATCTGTCAATTTTTCTTATATATCTATCTATATGCACAACCAGTCTTTCCGCACTCGCTATCACATCCTCCTTTTAATCGTCGAGATTTCCGTTCTCCTTCCTCTTCCTTCCTTTACTTTGACTTCTTTGCGTCTTTAGCTTTATCTTTTTTTGTGGTCACCGCCAATTCCGTGCATTTTTATTTTACACTCGCACATTTTCGCGCCTTTTCTTATATTCCTTCCGTAATTCCGCCTCATCCTTTTCGGCTTCTAATGAGAAGAGAACCTTTATCTCTTCCCATCTCTTTTTCCAGCACCTTGCGCCGGTCCCGGAGGAGGATTATGCTTCGGTGTCATCTTTTTCTATCGCACAGTTCCTGCATTACATCCGTCGCTTTCTATCCAAACGTTGCGTCTATCCATCTCTGTTTTTCTCCATCTCGCGAGCCGAGGTCGTTCTTCCTCATCTCGCGGCGCAAACACGCGTATACATCTTTATCTTTTTTCCTTCCGCTGTATATTCTCCGCTTGTTACATCACAATCTCCGTTCGCCTCTCTTTCCCGGCGTCTCGTAACTGCGCCTCTCAATCTGCGCCTCCGACTCTCCTGTCATGCGTTCCATCACTTCGCGCTCGACGTCGTCTGATTTCGGTTGCCCTTCTCCACTTCGCTGCGCCACGTCGGCCTTTTCGCGCCCTTTTCTACTTGTTTAAACCAATATTTCGCCCGTTCCGGCCGCCAGCATCGTTGCCATCGTCGATTTCTGTGTTATAAGCTTTCCAAATTTTTCCCTTCTTTTACATCTACTTTACTTCGTCCCGAAATCAAGAATCGACTTCGTCTGTCGAGAAGAATTCTATCCATTTTTGCTATTTCACAATTCATGAATCGTGAATTATTTTCAAGTTATGCTCATTTCTCAAACAGACCAAGATTTCTATTTCTACTATGGCAATGTAATAATAGAACTTAATGAAAATATTATATTTTGTTCATATGTGTGCTATATGTCAATAAAATTACGTAATATATTTGAATATGAATATAAATGTAGCTTTTAACATTTTCGAGCTACATTATATTATATTACTTGGTTATTAGGGAGTAATAACAGAGTAGTTGTAAAATGTAAAAACTTGCTGCGGGAAAAAATGAATCTGTTAGATCAGCAAAAACTACTGTACTATTTCAACTATGCAAAGAAAAAATAAATATTGCATCGCACTTTGGACTGTGTAACGTTGCATGTGCTGCGTGAAATTCCAATGTGAATCCGAGCGCCCTATAAAAAAAAATAGCACTTCGCAGTAAGTGCTTTTCTACGTGGGTGTGACTCCCACAATCTTGCGAGAAGCTTGTAGTACCGTTAATATAAATGGCAGCGAAAAAAGTTTCCAGGGAAAGAGGGAAAGCAGCGACCAAGAGAATTAAAGGAAGACATTTTCATCTTGCAGTTGTGTACTAGCTCCCGATTAATTAAACGAGCCATTTTCTGAATGCTAGAAAATAGCATGGAGAAAGGATATAATTGAATTTATTATGATAAGCAGAGTTGTTAAATAAACTAAAGTATATATCTATATTTAATACGTGTTTCAGTTGGCATAAACGTAAATTATTCTTACATAAATCTAAAATAATTGAGCTTCTCTCTAAAGAGATTTGTGCTCGAATATATAATATTCGACAGATATATCGAATAATTCTTATGTAATCTTTCAAAGATTATAGAATGAAAAATGATAGGTTCTCGTCGCGAAACTTTCGTGGACAACTTTTTTCAGAATTTCTTCTCTCGCGCCTTTCGGTTCACTGACATAGATACGAAATCATATGCGCTGACATATTATGATGAATTTTCCAGGAAGATAGAATTTTCGTACGGTACGCTGAGTATTCCCCGATGTATTTTAACGACGACCTAGATTTCCAGTAAATTGTACGAGAGCACATCGGGGTTTCTATGGCCATGCGTGTAATCCAACCCTAATCGGGAGCGACAAACTACGGGGGTAAACAATATTGTTTGCAAATCGATGTTCGAAGCCCGCGGGCGACGACGTCGTTTGAACTTATAATTCGATCGACAGACTGCGCACATTTGCGGTATTGTAAACAAAATTGTTTGTGCTTCTTTTTACGCTGCCTGACGCCATCGATCGATCATCGTTCATCCGTATACGTGAAATCGTCGAAACTTCTTCTTGATGTATAATCGAGCATTTAATAAGATGAGAGATTTTCTTTTTATTTTCTTACAAAACGTGCAAAACATCCTCCCCTCGGCGATAAAGAATTATATGAAAATTATACGAGCAGCAAGACGCGTGTCGAGGTCACAATTGATATTCTACACCAGTCAGATTTTGCTCAGCAAAATCGTTTATCGGTTTCTTACTTTTAATGCTTGTACATTTATAATAATTTATCATTTTTATGTTTTAGTATTAAGCAAGTTTTTATATTGAAAAAAAATATCAGAATTGATAGTTTGTATTTAAAAATAAGTATATATATATATCATATATATATATATATATATATATATATATATATATAGGTTGTCTAACAAAGTGTCACACCGAAAACATACAAGTAGATTTCGTTATTTGGAGACAATTTTTCCTCAACAAAAATGTCGAGAGAGGCCATGATTTTTTGGATGTTCCCAATTTTTGCCATCATGTATCCTTATAACTAAACCTTAAATTAAAATTTTAATTTTTGATGTTTCAATATTTTTGCTGAGGAAAAATTGTCTCTAAATAACAAGTTCTATTTGTATATTTTCGATCAGACACCCAGGTCAGGTATATTAGGGTGGTCCTTATTTTTTAAGAATGTATTATTGCCATAAATTTTTAACTGGACATTCTTAGTGATATTCCAAATCATGATGAATAATTTCAAATTTGTTTACTTATTTGTTTAAAAATTATTAATTAATGAATTTTAATTTTAGGATTTTATGTAAACGTTCGAGAAATTGATAATAAATTATTCACAAACTATGTGAAGAACCTACATATAAAAATTTGATATTCTTCAAACATGTAAAAATGTTTTTGCAAAGTTTCAAAACGATTTACTTGCTCGTTTTACAATAATATAATATTATTATTACATTATATAGCTATAATACGGCAAAATAAATTTAAACATTTCGTGAGGCACGAATTAATATTATAGAAGGCCCAAAATTAGAAATCAATTTTTTTTCATCAACTATAAATAAGAACCACCCTGTATATATTGATAAAGTGGAATTACTTTTTGGGCGCGCATGCAATATCGCAAACAAGTCTATACTCTGCTTGTAAAATGATTGTAAAAAGCAGAAACTCTTACCTCGTAATGCTGTCATCTCTTCCTATGTCTCCCGTCGTGACCTTTCCCATAAGATCCCCATCGCTTGCCGTCCTCTCTATCGGACCCTCTTGCAGAATCGTCAGTTCCGGTCTGTCCGGTTGCGCGAGGCTGCCAATTTTGAAAGGGAACTGCTCCTGGCCCTTGCTCAATTTCTTGGAGCCCTCGCTTCCGGTTCTGCTGAGTCGCCTCTCCTTGATATCCCTATCGCCCTCGATCGTCGTCTCCTCGATCGTTCCGCCGTTATCGGAGACCTTGGATAGGTCCAGAAGGATCTCCGGTTTCAGGTTTCTCAGGGAGACTCTGTGGTCCTCGGCGATGTCGGGCTTGCCCTCCGTCAAAGTGCTCTCCGAGGTCGATTTCGCCAATGCGGGTAGCTGCAACGACGACACGTCGACGATTTCCGGCGACGGCGCCCGCGTCAGCCTCGCTTTAACCGTCTCGGTAACGATGGCCACTTCCGGCGGCGAATGAATCTCGACCCTTGTAGCGGCCTCCTCGAAGCGAAGCGCCGATGCCTCTTCGGCAGTGATGATCCTGGCGGTCACCAGCTGGACTTCCGGCAGCAAATCGACCTAGAGCGAGAATTTCATGTTTGTTAAAAATCGAAATAGATAAAAATCAAATAAATTTTGCTCTCTATAGAAGATTGACTCACTTGCTCGCTCGTGTCCTCGAAGAAGATCTCTTGAACGTCTTCTTGGATCCTCACGCCCTTCTTCTCCTCCAACAACGATTCTCTCGAGGACTCTCTCGAGAAAGAGTCTCTCCTTTTTCTCAACGAGCTGGGTCGCTTTGCAGGCTGTTGAACTGTCGTTTCAGGTTGCTGAACGTCTGAAACGGCTGCCGAAGTGCGTGCCAAGATTGGTCGTTGTTTTTTGCTCTCCGAAGGTTCTTTAACGTCCTTCGCTCTTGAGTCTTCTGGAAAATCCCTTGTCATCTCAGATACACTCTTCAGGCTCCCTTTTCTTTTCGCAGACGGGATGGACGGTTCGACTGACGTTGCAATCTCTCCGTCTTTGCTGATAACTGATAAACGTTTGTCTCGTTGCTCGTCCACGACCCGGGAACCGACGGTCCCGCAGTTTCGAGTCCAGCGCTTACGTCGGGATAAGTCGGTATACTGTGCCTCGTTAAAAATTCTGTCACCCTCTCGATGCACTCTTGCTCCTTCAGGCTCTTCCTCTCTTCCCTCGATCGCCGATAAGTCTCCCCGTCCTTCTTCTTCGGCTCCTCCTTCTCTTTCTCCTCTTTTCGCGGCTCCAATTTCGGCTCCGACGAATCCTCGGCTTTCGAGGATCTTCTTCCCGATTTCTTCGGTCGCTTCCTACCGTCCTCCTTTTCCGTGAACACCTTCTTTCGCGCGCCCTTCTCCGACTTCTCCGACGTGTCCGACTTCTCCAGCGTCTCCCTCGACGTAGACGTACGTCCCTCGGAATCCGCGCTGCTGTGACGTTTCAAGCTCTTCCTGCGCTCTTGCTCCGCTTCCCGTTGCGATCTCGCGGTCATCGTGATCCTGGACGTCTCTTCCGCGCTGGAGACCGCTTCCTCCTGAACGGGAGGCACCCGAGATTCCAACTCCTGGGACGAGTCCTTCTTTAACTTCACCTTCGGCGCTATTTTCTCCACCCTTGCTGTCACGTCCTTCGTGTGTCTGGGTATCCTGGTGGTCTCCACGATTATCGTGCCGCCGTACGACACGATGCTCGTCTCCTCGTGCATCGTTTTCGAAGTCGTCGGATAGAACTCGTGAATAATCTCGACGTCGTTGTCGATGTCGACGTATCTGGCCGGGGTCCGTTTGTCCCGGCGATGAAGCTTCGGGGGTCGACGCGCCGGACTGCAGATCGGGGTCACCGGGGAGGCATCCTTCCAGTTGTCCTCGTCCTCGTCCTCCTCGTCCTCGTCGACCTCCGGTTTGTTCGTTGACCCTTCTGTCAAACCTATACATTTTTTCATATTTTTTGTATTACACGTGCAGACAAAGTAGCACTTTGTGTGCGTGTTTTCTGTGCGGAAAGCGGCCGATTTCCCACGCCGCCATTTAGCGGCGACGCGGTGAGTGAATAAGCCGCATTCAAAGCCATTGCCCACGGCTTCAGCCGTGGACAATGACTTTGAACACGGCTATTCCCGCACCGTGCCGCCGCAAGATGGCGGCGTGCGATCGGCCACCTCGCGCACAAAGCCACTTGCCTGCACTTGTAATACAAAATAGTATGTGTATCACGTGCGGATTGACAATTGTTCACTCGTGTGGGGTGGTCCATCCCCCACACTCGTGACCAATTGTCAACTTTCCGCACTTGATACACAATATACTATTTTCAAGCTATATTCGATAGAATCATTATCGAGATGCACTTGCGATAATCCAAGTCACGCGAATCGTCTTTGTGAAATTTCTCGATCTCCATATCCTTGACGAGGATATAAGTCGTGCCGTTATAAATTGACTCGTCATAAATTTGCTCGACTATTAAGATGGGAAGATAGTTTGCGCGCGGAAAGATATCGCATGTTACCGTGCGATGCATTAAAGCGTAGTGCGCTTTTGCATGGCATCTATAAAGGAAGCCCGTCTAATTGCGAGATCCAAATTAATGGTTTCGTATATCTCAGGCTGGAATTGTAATGGCAAATTGCCACGTCACGAGATATATATTGGCGCGGAAGGAGATCTCGCTGCTGTCAGAGGAAGGAAGGGTCGCTCGTATAGAAATCACATCGTAGTGTCTCGCGAAACAAGGCGCGACGTATCCTCGTTCCGGAACAATAGCAATATCCGAAACCTCTATCCGTGTACTCGGGAAATGTACTCGTTATTGAATGGACCGTGATTTATATATACGACCATCTATATCTCCTCCTCTCTCTTTTGAAACAATACAACATTGACGAGATCGATAAGAAATATACGACCTCGCGCTGCAGGATTGTAAATTCAATTGAATTCTTATATTAACATGGATTAATTAAATTACATTGCTAATTAATATACAACTAAAAATCTTAATCATAAATACGGCGAACAAAAATTCTAACGATTGTGCGGATATCTTAAATTTTTATCAACTATATTTAATTCGAATTTCGCATTAAAAATTTGATAAAATTCGTCAAGATGTACCTGATCTCGAGGAAAGCAAGTCTTCAAGCTCGGCTACACGATCGGTCGTCTCGCTCTCATTGGGAAAACTTTTGCTCCGTTTGATCTTCGGTGTCACTTTTTGCTATAGAAATGAGCAGCGCAGAAAATGGGCAAAAAAGACAAGAGTTAAACAGATGGTGTAAACATCGACATGGATTCTACAATTTCGCATTAAATTTTATAAGATAACTAGCGTACAAATACTTGGAAAAAATTTACAAATTTTTCAGCCTAAGCTCGATTATAATAATTGAGAGAGTGAGTATTTTTCTTCACAATATTTGTATGCAGATACACAAATATTTCTGATATTTGTAAAGATTTATGCAGATTTATATTTCATTATGATAATATGATATGGAACTTTGGTATAACCGTAATTGATGATATGTTGAAATAGCATAATTTTATTTCTATGCATTTGAGCTGCATTAATCATACATATCTACGAATTTTGATCCATATGGAATTAATTTTAATAAGCGTATTACGTGTTCAAATTTAAATGGGTTGCAAATGTCAAAGATGTATGTACTATAGTAAACACAAATGCAAATATGTCATCGCGAAAATCAATAATCGAGCGAATTCCGCGCTATTGTGTCACGCTATTCAATCTCAATTTTTCTAAAGAGGAAAAATAAGACGAGTTTTATGTATCTAGGTATATGTAAGCGTTACTTAGCAATACGTTTGCTTCGTAATCTCTTCGTTACCGATAATCCAGTTAAGGAAATAGTTTCATACAAATAGGATTGTCTAGAGTCTAGAAGTCCGCGAACGTCGACGATGCAACCTTTTTTTACAATATGTATATGGATTGCGATTCTTGCTCTGTAATGGGCTGGGAAAGAAACAATTTATTAAATATACGTAGAGATGCAACAACGCATCCGGTTAATATCGAGGAAAGCGCGTGCGGATATCAAAATAACTTGTTGTCAATATATCGGGAACGAAGTATCGATTATTGTACAATTATAAGCGGCATCAGAAAAAGGCTTAACTGGAATCATAAAATATGATTTACTGGAGGTTCACTTCTATTTATACGCGCTATTGACTAAATTAGATCGTAAATAAGCATTGGGTACAGTTAGATGATTTGATCGTTGTCGAGGAAGCTAATTCTATATATAATATATTACGATATATTGTCCATAAATGATCTTTCTCTCTGCGCAAATGTGCGAGACAAAAAAATATCGTAGTATCATAAACATTCATATAAAATTTATATACCTTTGATTGACAAAAATTATTCTAAGCTTTGTTTATAATTTTAAATCTCTTTAAAAAAATATATATATATATATCTTGTTTCGTGATTCTTGTTTATTAATCAAATATCAAAGGAAAATAAAATATGCTAACGTTTGTACATCTAAAGATTACCATATCGTTCGTAGAGAGCAAATTTCAATTTCTCAATCAATTTAATCGTTACGTAACATCTTCGCCGCTTGATTCGTTTCTACTCAAGCCAATCAAGTAATTCGATCAGCGAGTGACAATATTATTAATTCGCTCGAATGATGAAGGAATTATTATTGAATCGCGCGGATAAGACGACGGAGAGGCATTGAGATAAGAATCGTTTCGTACAATTCACATTCGCATAGGAGAGAATCTTGCCTGGAAAACGATCGATTTCTTCGAGACGCATAACGATAAGAGTATCTGTACTCTTGTCAAATCATTAAAACGCAAGATACAGCAAGTAATAATATACGATAGAAATAATATGCGTTTTTATGCAAGCAACCTATTGCAGAGAATTATTGAAAACTTACCTATACGTCACACAGAACTTGATATATTCTATCTCGTGAGATTTTCATCCAATTCATGCAGTTTGTCGCTAACAATGACGGATTTGTGCTGAGTACCAGTTGCGTTACGGAACATCCATAATTATTATTCTAACACAGCCTTATATAATCCAAGTGTTGCTAATGTACAACACCAAATTGCTCCGACAAGTGAATTCAACTGATTCTAATCGATTTCAAACAATTATTTCTATTCAAGTATTTATTTTTGAGTAGATTTATTTTTGATTGTACGCTGCACAAAAATGAAATTAATTGAAGCTTTTATCATAAATAACATTAATAACGTTATTTCATCGTAAGATATAGTGATTTCATAAAATGATGTTTTTTTAAGGGCGGAGACATATAACGCATGCTGCAAAAATTCTTTGAATAATATTTGTGCGGTGAGATATTTTATATATCTTTTGTTTATATGTATATATATCACGTTCTCTTTCGGTATACATCTCTATATTTCTGATAAAATGTAACAAAGTTAATGGTACAATTTTTCATAACGATCGGGAATTTTTAAATACATCAAGAATGGCGCACAAGGCCGAGCAAAAAAATTACAAAATCGTCAAAATCGTTTAAAATCATGTGTGTTTGAGAGATTTTAGTGAGATATATATATTTATATAAGAATTCCTTATGTAACAGGTAAATATTTTATCGACGTAAAAATCAATAAACACGTCGATTAAGTGTCGAGCATGTTAATTATATCTGTATACGAATCATTATAAGCTCTCGGGAGATTGGCGAAAGGGGCAAAAATCTCGAATAAAAGAATGAAAGGACGGGACAATTCGATTTCGTTTCTTTTTCGTTTCGCATTTTCCTTTAAAGTCACCCGCGTGAAAATAACATATTAGTATTCGCTGTCTGTATATCGCTGCATCTGTTCTCCCTCTCTTTTTAATGAATATATATATATATATCTATATATATATATCAATATTATTATTAAATGGGCATAAACGAGGACATAGTGCTTGATCATTGGTAACTTTTTATTTTCTATTTCTGTTTTGGTTTTTTGGTCGGTAAACTGCGGTAAACGTATAACTCGCATCGGAAATGTGCATCCGCCTCGGCGCTTATGCCTCGCTCTGAAAAATAGAAAAAGAAATATCGTGATTAGAGAGACGCGTGTGCATATGTGTGGACATTTGACATATGTGACTTATGGTACTTTCGACAATAGATTCTTCTCACGCGGCATTCTCGCTAGATTCTACGAAGCGCGCTAACGTGTGACTACGGTTCTGTTCTTTTCTCTCACGCATTTCTATATATTATGTCAAAGACGACACGAATGCTCATATCTTGGAAAGACGGGGAGAAAAATGTGCTGCCATAGAGAAAGCGTTTCTAAAAAGAACAGATTTAAATTTACACGTGTGCTTAATATATATGTGTCACACGAAACGCACGATGGGAATAGAGAGGACGAGAGTTTATACAGTCATGTGGTATAACAAGATGTATAAGTGTCGAGATGCAAAGTTTACGCCATATGTGTATTTCTTGATATTTTACATAAAAAGTCTTACATTAAAAATTACATAGAAATTACATGTGGAAAAAGAAAAATTAATTTCATGTGCATTCTCAATTGTGTCAACAAGTATAACAGATTTTTTGTTTCACATATTTTTATATTATCGTATTTTCACACGTAAATATATAAAATTAAAAATTTTATAAGCGATGTGCACATCTATCCATCTAAATGAACAACATTACGCGACTATCACTTAACTACATCACTTTCTTTTTGTACAAAAAAAAAAAAAAATAGATATATATCGTCTATCACCAACAGACATGGACCAATTTCTCAAACTTTTGCCAAAGTAACGTAAGTCGTAAAGTTTTGTGAGAAAAATATGCGTACAATAAATTTCGAAGTTAAGCCGGACCTCGTTTTCCCAGCGAACGAGTCGAGTTCGTAAAATGTGTATCTATCACAGGCAACAGAGAGTCGGACGGTTTGAAGCATTGAAGAGTATATAGTGAGGCAGAAGTTATATCTCTTGCAGAGTAATAAGAATAATAGCGCGAAAGAGAGATACGCGGGCAAAGAAGTTGCACGAGAGCGCAGTTATGACAGACACACCTGACGCAGGTGCTTCGATAAGAACAAGCGCGACTTACGTAATAATCGTCGTACTGCCATATGCTGCGATAAACGTGCAGAGAATTGTATATTCGTAAATTGTCAACTTTCGTCATCGCCCGTCACGAGGAAACGTGAAAACTTACGCGAACTTACTTTTCACCCTTCTCGATTCTCCTTGCGAAATAAATCAACGAAAACTTTGACAAGAATTCGCGTACACGATCTCGAAAAAGTTGGATTCGTTGCAACTTATTATAATATAAGAACACAAGTACAATTCTTGCAACGCTATATAAGAGCCAATAACAATACTTAGTAATTTATTACAATTTTACAAATATATTTCTGATTCGATTTCTCTGAAATGTATCGCTACTTTTTCTATATTTGTCTTTCTTTTCTACGCTGTCAATTTGTCGAGCTATAGAGTTTACAATGAAAAGTTTTCACGCTTTTCACGCTATGTTTACAACGGGATTACGATGTATTTGTCGCATGATGCGAAGAACGTGGATGTATAATCTCTCTGTTCTCGAGAGACGCAATAGCCAATCTGATAGAAAGCTTAAAAGCGTAGGATGTTATCAGCGAATGTCTCAAAAGTGATCTGTGAGTTTGAATTTTAAAGTATAATCGCCCAATGTTTACTTTAACGTAACGCATGGATCTGTGTGTATGTGTGAATTCGTCAGAAAAATAAATTAATAACTGAACATTGGATGTATTGAAATATATTTAGCCTGCTGAAGCAACAAGAAAATTGCGAGCATGCTGTAACACATTAGGTAGCTCTAGAAGGTGACTCGTTCTTAATTTGCAAGAGCAGAGCGACTATGAAAACTTGACTATTCAGATCCAAAACGAGAATGGACGAAAGGACCGGTCGAGAAATTTGACATCGTGCATCCCGGAAGTAAGTCTAAGATTGCGTTTTAGCATTCGCGTCAGCGGAAGAGAAGAACTTTTACGGGTTAATTGTTATATGCGTATGTGCGAAGATCTCGCGTTATTAATTAACATTTTATGCAGCTGCGCAAATAAAGCTCGCAACAGACACTACGCACACAGTGAGGAAAGGAATAGAGTAACAACAACGCTAACAATAGCGGCACATCGAAACAATAATAATAATAATCAAATCAATAAATAAGTGAAAATGATAATAAAACGGTGAGATATTGAATCATATAAGAATAATAACGTTAATAATAATGAGACACAATAAGAATAATTAATAATCGTGATTTTCGCGTGCCTTCGAGACTCGGCTTTCAAAGATAATAACAAGAGCTTCACGTTCTAAGCGGTGAAGAAAAAAGGAAGCCTGGAGGAGAATCGATTTATTACGTAACTTGCGGCTCGGATATCCCAGCGGCTACCACATCGAGGCTTATGTACCATCCGTTCGCCCTGTTCGAGTATCGGGAAGGCGGTCGGAAGAGTTCAGGTATAAACAGGTTGCGAGTAAGTAGTAAACGTACGTATCGATCCCCATACGAGCCTCTTGATAATAGTGAAGAAAGGTGCCAGTGAGTAGACAGTAGTGGAATGGTAGTAGAGCTCTACAAAAAGGCGAAAAGTTTGACAGTACGAGCTTGCTTGGAGAGTTCGATTAAAAATTGTTGTAAAGAGATATTGTTTTGTGAAGAAACACCAAAAGGAAAAGGCGACACAATCGGAAGAAGAAAGTAATAAAAAAAAAAAAAAAATAATAAGAGAGACTTATATCATTCAACTTGATCTTTTTACTTGCCTCGTTATACGTTTTCTCGACTTTTCTTTTGTCTTTTCTTTTCCCCTCTTTTTTCACTCTTTTTCTATTATTATTTTTTTTTTTATTATTATATTCTCTCACTCCTACTTTGCCGCCGGCTTGAGTCATTCTTTCTCTTCCTTTCGCACCTTTAAAACTCTTTCACACTCGGATTGTTCCCGTCTCAATCTCTCTCTCATTCACTCTTCGCCATTTGTCTCTCCCTTTTTCTTTAATTTCAAATTCTCACCCTCTTTCTCACACTCGCATTCAGATATTTCACGTTTACATTTCCTATTTCTTTATTTCTGACATTATCTCTTTTCTCTTTCACATCTGTATCTCTACTTATTTAAGAGAGAAAAGCTATTTTCTCTAAACGTCAAAACTATTATTTTTCTCGCTCTCTCTCTCTCTCATTCACTCCTACTCGTCCGACTGCAAAGAGACAAATGGCAAATATAATATATATATATGTGTGTATAAGAAATAGAATTCCTTCGAAAACGAATTTGCAGCTTGCTAAACAAAGATCACTAGTACGATTGTGTGTGTCGTGAGTTCGGAAGAATTTGGAAGTATGTGAGAGAAGTCAGTCTTATGCAATAAAGTTGTTTTGTTCAGCTACTCTCTACCAGGCAACTTTCATTCACTATTACAATCGTTTTGTTCTGTACTTACTTAGTTTGATGATCGGCAATATAAACCCATCCGCGAAAGGTAAACACCGAGTGCTATTATCGAAAATCTCTCTTTCGCACCGTCTCTCTCTCTCTCTTTCGCTCGCTCTCTCTCTCTCTCTCTCCCTCTCATATCCCTTTCTCTCTCTCTCCCCTGTTATTTCGTTCATCGCATCTTTATTCGTTCTCCATTCCCTTTGCAGCGCTGACGATGCAACGCCGAATCGGAGATACCATTCGTACACTTCTCACGTTCGCCAAATGCTCGATCTTTCTTTCTTTTTTTCCCTTTCTTCCCGAATCTTTCATCGCATAAAAATAGGACACCTATCGGAAACTCGTCGGCTATCAGGACTGAATTACTTTATACAGGAGCAGAGCACGGGATTATCAATTATACCGGCTGAATCATTTATAACTGTCTGTATAATATAAAAGAAATGTTAATGACAGGCTTTTTAGATCCTTGAATTTCTTACAAGATTTTTTACTTTGAGATTGCACACATTTTCAGATATATTCTATAAAAATCTAAAACAAATTGATTTTTACAAATGTAAAAATTGCAAAGCTCTAATAAAATATATCGTTTTCTTCAAGATTTGTCAACCGTTCTCCTCGCATCTCAAGTATATAAAAGGCATTATTGCGTTATCGCAACTTTGTTGTCACTTTAACACACTTCAACACAATTCGAATCTCCTGCTCCGCAATTCGGAATGAACGAATCACGCGCGAAGGGATTTCCAAAATTGGATCTCCCTCTCGACTTTAGTTTCTCCGCACGAGAGAGAGAGAGAGAGACGAGCTTACTCTCCCTGCTTAAACTGGGGCGCATCCCGAGGGAGATGCGCGTGATCCCCTACGCCAGGAGTCGGAACGAGACCAAGCGAGAAAAGGTTTGCCCGTCAAAGATACACTGTTCGACTGGTATATCTCATCGGGAAAGAGTATCGCATAAATCATTCAAACGTTTGACTGTGCCTCGGAATATCGCCGAGGGCGGCCCGTTCGTACGCTCATAAAGTATCAGGCTTCGCCGTTTTTATTCGGCCGTTTTATGGATGTTCCGCTTGCAACGGTACGAACGCGGCGTAAAAAAACTGTACAGGTATACATAAGTATATATACGTAAGTATATGTAGATATATATATATATATATATATATATATATATACATATATATATTAATGTTAAAGTATATTAAAAATGAAGTATATGTGCCACGCGCGCAAACGAGCTGAAATGAAAAGCAAACGGTTAAAAATCAATGGCGAAACAAGCACAGATGACGACGAATGTAGGGAAATTGACGAATACATATTTACAGAACCGGAATGAATGAGGACAGGGTGCTGGCGAGAATGGATAATGACAAACGAAATAAAACAACATATACGGTATTCTATTAACTTGCATCGTATGGTAAAATTTTATTCGACGTATAAATTGCTATAAATTTTTGACACATCCATCGATCAAGATGTATCAATTTCTATTCAATTTATGTATTTAATTTTTATTTTGCTTCTTTCGCAAATAAGTACCTCTCGCTCCTCATATTAATGCATATGAATGAGGTACAATATTTGCGAAAGTTAAAGCGAGATATTATAACTATTGACAATCGCATAGGAATAAACAAAAACATTGTAGTCTTACGCGATTGTCAAAAACGATGCGCTTTTCGCGTTGTGCCGTGATTACGGAATAAAAACTCAATGATAATGACGGGGAACACAATAAAAGATAATCAACTTAAAAACACACAGATTAATACAGTTTGGGATGCAAAGCATATTTAACGCGTTCTGCTGCTCTGCGATAGGTGCATGAATATTGATGTACGCGTCGCTTTTAAAAATTTGGCGAAATAAAATTATCCCTACGATAAATATTAACAGCATATTTAAAATAAACTATAATATACTTAATCCATATTAAAATCTGCAGTTCGCAAAAATATTATTACAAAAATAGTGTGAATTTAAACTTAAAAAAATTCAGTCACACACATTGTGTAAGTATATAAAAATAATACTTATATAATAGTATAGCTGAAAAAGTAACGTAAGAATAATTATAAAATATAATTATGCTATATAAATATACATATGCTATATAAATGGGATGACAATGGACTTAACATAAACGAACTACGTCATGCTGGCTTATAAAGTAAATTTTCTGCGAATTACGATAGCACTAAAAAATTCAACATGATCCAACATTTTGTTGTTCCACATAAATATATTAAATTTGTGCTTTGGTGTCTTATATGAAGCAATCGCACAAAAATGGCAAATATTAAAATATCCTTTAACGCCATGCCAACGCCAATTATTTTCTCCGAAGTTCACTATGCCGATTTTCTTCGAACATTAAACTTATATGTGTACGCGCAATAAATACACAGAAAATAATTTAAAATTTTCATGATTTCCAACACAAAAGACGGGACATGTTTCATGCTCATTACTCGACATACTTAAACACGTATATATAATGTCATATTTAGTATGTATATATATATATGAAATGTAGCGGCGATAATTTAATTTTTATGGACGGAATTTTGTTAGGAAATACATATTCAGATTTGTGCGCATATCTATTTGATGATTCTATGAGAGAAATGTTAAAAAAAATGTGAAAACACAATTATCCTCGACTAACTAAACTAAACGATTGCACGAATTTGACTGTGCGTATGTCGACCGTCTCGAAGACACGCGAATCGCGGTGAAATTTAGCGGAGGCAAGAGCCTTGAGCCTATCCTGATTAGAGCGACCTAATTAAAAACTCTCAGACTTGACGAGGTTGTGCTGATGCTTCAGACCCTCGATCAAATCCATATGCGGCGGCTCGGTCACGTTAATCTTACGCTCGCGAAAATACTCCCGCCTCTGTTTATGGCTATCTACGATCGAGGAAACGGTCGCCACGTCTCTATCTTTCGTAGCCTCAATTCGATCGTCCTGATCGCTCACCTGGACAATACTGTCTGGTATTGGCAGCGGCTTGGCCACGCCGATGCGAACGGTCCCCTTCGGGGCGCCTTTGAGGGCCTGGACGGCCTGGTCCAATGTTGCGTTCTCTAATCCGATGTCGTTCACAAACAGAAGCCGATCGCCCGGTATTAACTGCCCATCGACTTGTGCCACCCCGCCGGGCACGAGCGATCGTATTACTATCACAGTTTCGTTGGGGTTCATTGGATCCTAGAACCGGGACGAACGGAAAAGGAAAATTCGATGATTATTAAAATTCATCATTTCTTCTCTGTCGAAATTGTGCGAGGAGAGTTCCGGGCAAAAAAAAGACAATTTCGCACCTGATAATCCAAAATGGAGAACCCAAGGCCCCTCTCTCCTTTAACCAATTCGATAATTTGCGGTTCGGAACTCCACATCGCCAGACCGGTCAGCGGTTCCAACGAGCGCGATTTCATTTTGTTTAGACTCGCGTCGGTCACAGTGGCCGTGGTCGTCGTCGAGGCCAAGGAACCGTCCGACTTCGCTTTCACGAGACGATCCATTGTAGGTAACAAGTTCTGCAGAGACCCGCCGAGGATGCTCTACGAGACAACACAAATTTTCGCGGCGGTTCTTTAAAGCGCGACTTAAGGCAACTAGAGTTCTGCACGGGCATTCTGACGATATTCTGACCGCTAAACCCGCCCATCCAGTCAGTGAATCAATGAATAAAGTGCTTAAAAACTCGTTTTGGATAGCGAGCGGGACAACAAATAGCAAGCCCATCTTTTCGAATCAAACAAGTGCAAAGAAATTTTGTTTTTAAATAAAATAAAAACAAAAAAAAACGTATTGTTAAAAGTAGAATTTATTACAATGTAGACATTACATAAAATCGGGAGGATTTAATTGTTGTTATAAACAATGTTGTGGATAACTTGGGTAAGACTCGAATATGGGTAAGGTCTTGGGCGAATCGGATAATTGTCATACAAAATTAGGACGGATACAAATTGGATAGTGAATTACATTTGCAGAACTCTACTGACAACGCGCAACTCCGTAATCTCTGTGTGTATACTCACTCTAGTCTGAAAAGCGGCCTGATGTTGAGCGGTATCGATGGGACAAAGCGGATCCTGCGAGGCGATGTTTCTTCCGCAAACCATACGAACGTGTAAAGGCAACTCTTTCAGCACGCTAACCACTTCCATATGATTGATGCCCAATAAACGGTAGCCGTTTACCTTCAAAAGAGTATGATATCGGTTTCAGACGTGTAGTTCAAGAATGAGGGAGAGAATTCTTGTGGCTCTGTCGAATTTTTTGAAAGGAAAACGCTCTATAGAGCTAGCTTTACTAAGAAAAGATACGGAAATTCGATAACCTCTAGTAACTCGTCGCCGGAGCGCAGTGTCCCATTCCGCCCAACGGGGCCTTCCGGCAAGATCGAACGTATATAATGATGAGGCCTTACTTCCTGGCCATTCTCCACGTCGACCGTTCCCTCTAAACTGATACCGAGACCGCTACCTTCGGCGAATTTCTTCAGCTGGGCGACCTATTCGAATAAAAAGAGAAAAAGAAAAAGAAACGAAAAAGGCATTCTTTCTCTCTCCTCTTCATCCCCTTTGATCTCTCACGATGAAATTGCGCGAGGATACTTACCACTATTTCGGTGTCGGGTCCGACGATCTTCTGCCATTTCGCCTTGATAGCCGCGCGAATTTGAGGTGTAAGCTCGCTCGATGGATCGCTCAACAATGCTTCGACATTGGTCGCCTCGTCCTGTTCATCCGACGTTCTTAAACCTCCTTCTTGCAGAACCGCGCTATCCACAGTGGTATGAGATTCGCCTTCGGGTTCTATTTCGGTGGTGGTCTCGCCATCCTGGGAGAAATGTAAATTTAATAATTTACAATTTTACAATATACGAGAGTATGACCGAATTCTAAATTTATAATTACAAGATTTATACGAATGAGCGCACAAGAGAAAAATTGAAACATGAAACTTTTGAATGAATAAATATATACAAAATTAATCAAACATTTAATTAATATAAAAATACATTTTATTCTATTCTTTTACAAATACGTCTGACTGTCGGATAAAGGAAAAAAAACGTACCGCGCTCATTGGAAAACTGGGTAGGCTCGTAATCGACGGAGAACTCGGCTGAGGTAGTCTCAACTCGCTTGCGGCGATCGCTTGCTGAAGCTGTTCGAACTTTGGTCCACGTAGATATCGCTCCAAGCAAAGATTCACCGTTTGCCCCGTACGCCTTAATACTTCGACGGCTTCGTGATTAGTGTAACCCTGCAGGGAATGTCCGTCCACCTCCACTATACGATCGTTTATTTGAATCATTTTGCTCAAGTCGGCCGCGCTACCCTCGCTAATGCTCTTAACGAAAATGCCAGAGAGCTCCTCTGCAAAAACAAAGCATTTTCTTTTTAACTCTAATCACATTCTACGTGTACATGTAGAGTGGTATTTTTTTCAAAATGCCGAAAACAGTCGGAATAAAAATATTTTCGCCGGATCGCGTCGTGCATTACCTTTCTCGCAAACATATCCAGCGATAGTGATGCCAAGGCCGTAAATATCCTTTGTAAGATTGACCGTGAAACGTTCCATTTCTGGCAGTGAATTAATATCGAGGGGCTCCATGGTGAGCACCGGTAAATCCTGGAGCTGCACCGGAAGTGGCACCGCCGGTATAACTGGCATCGCTCCAATTGGCATTGGGTTGCGTACCACGTCCATGATGAGACTGGGTCTTGCCTGAGGCACAGAGAATTGTCTCGTGGTTTCTTCCGATGATGAGGATACGATTCCTCGGTGGGAAACAACGGAAAAGAGGAAAACGAAGGAGAGGAGAAACGGGACTATAACGCGAAATTACGATCGCCATCTCTCTGGGCCGCAACACACTCACGTGCATTTCAATGTCGGATTCCTGCGAGTACATGTAACCGTTGTCGTAGCTCGTGTCACTCCCCTGCACATGTCGCATATTGTAGCTCTCCGGTACGTTGTGCACCAGATGTCTGTCCAACTCGTCCGGATCCCCCAGGATTTTCGTAGGGACGATCGGGGCGTGACTTCCGAGAGCCTGGAGAGATATCGGGAACGAGAAATTTTATGCGTTCCAAAGCGTTGGTTCCTTCTCTTTCCCTCCGAACGGATTTATAAAAATAAATGCAACTTCGGAAATGTCTGATCCCTGTATCGCCCGAGGGTATTTTTTGCAAAGGGATATTTTCCAAGCTTTTGAATTCCCAACCGTGTGAAAATTTCCAATCCATTCCGGTAAATAAAACATTAACTGTAGCCAGCTTTTCCGTAAATCTTGCGGAATTTCTCGCAGAGATTACAACGGGGATTGCGCGTCGTGATATAATAGTAACATTGTGTGTTTTAAGCCTGTATAGAATTGCAAAGCAGCGAGAACCTTCATATTTACTTTATTTTCGCAGTTAAAGGCAAAATTTCTCTCTTTCATCGCAAAATTAATTAATTAATTATTAATTCATATTTACTCTTATGCATTGTAGACGGAAAACAAATTCTCTATTTGTACGATCCACCGAATATTAAAGAATTCGTATTCTCAAAGCGTCTCATTAGCATTTTATTTTCAACGTCCTCTTCTTTTTATTATTTTTACAGGCGTCTGGGATTATCTCGCGCGGATACGAATTTTATCGCACTTTGCTTCGCACCAGCGTGACAGGTCGCGAGGGAACTTTACGAGGACCTCAACAAGTGATATTTACAAGTCGACAAGCATCAGGGGACGGTTTGTCACAACCCTTTAAAAAAAAATTCACCCGGAGAGCGTTTGTGTATTCCGTAGCTGGTGGCAGAGCAGACAGGTCGCTAGCTGTTTAATATTCGCGCGAAGAATGGCAGCCGCGGAGCGGGATATAAATATCGATCAGAGGTGCGATGAAAATTGAAAGACCGCGGCGACTCTGTCTTCTTTTTCTTTCTTTTTTTCCCCCTTTTTTTGGAAACGAGAAAAGTCGAGTGCACTCCGACATTTTCCTCCGTTATTTGCTTTCGCCGAAGGGATGAATAATGAAGTATCCTGTTTCCGCGAATACGCCCACGCATTTAATGCACGCGATTCGATTATTGTAATCGGAGGTTGAATTTAGAACGCATGAAATGAAAGTTGATTCGTCGAACCTTGTGTGTTTTGCCTAACGTATACGTGTCGCTTAACCCTTTGTCGAATGTTAAATGCAGTGCTGTGCTTAGATGATTTTAAAATTAGCTAGATAAAGATGAAGATGATTTTGCTTTAAATATATGTTAGATAAAAGATAAAATTATATAGCGATTCGTCTAGATAACTTCCATATAATATTATTTTTAAGACCGTTTATGTAAAACAGTTATAAAAAAATGTAAATTAAAAAAGGGATATATAAAAGTATATTTATATTTTTATTTGCAAGTTTTTATTGCTTACTGCTTAAGTTCTGCTATTTAAGTATTTTTATGTGCTAACTCTAAACAAAATATCTGAACATTATTACAGATAATTTAATAAGGATACCACTTTTCTAAGATATACATATAGATAATATACATATTTTTAAGATCTATATAAAGATAAGATGACGCCAAACTTTATCTAGATAATCATCTATATAATTTTATTTAGATAACAGCTCTGGTTAAATGCGATAAATGACTCATCTGTTACAAAAAAAATTAACTCGATTTTCTGCTAGACTTTCGCAATTTTAATACGCGGCGACAAAGTAATTTCCATTTTCTCCGAGCACATAATAAATTCCGAGAGAGTTCGTCCATTTCGGTATGGTCGCGGTTTCGCGTCGAAATAATAGAGAACCATCACGTGTATATGCACGAAATGGCGAGGTGTATTATTTATTATCCCTGAATTACAACTTGTTCTCCCAGTCGCCGGGTTCGCAACCGCTCCGAGAGAATCTCGATACATTTTTTTTCTCGCACAACTTCATCATTCCCCGAGTCAAAGTTTTGTGCTTCCACTTTTAACTTTTCAATTTTTCCATGTTTATGGACTCTACAAGATTTCGATAGGTTTAATTTATATAAAACTCGAACTCCTAGTTTTTATCTCAAATAATCAATAAGCCAATATAGTTTCAGGGATATAACACTGAAAAAAAATTTTACTTGATTAAACTTTTCAACTAAATTACTATTTTGTTAATTGAACATATATCGGTATTTAAGTCAAATATAGGTTTTGCTAGATTTAATGTATTCTATTTAATTTAAATATATGTTCAATTAGCAAAATAATATTTAGTTGAAAGATTATCGCGTTAACAAATTTTTCAGTGAAGAGTTTAAAGAAGAAACTTCCGATTAAAACATATAATATTATATAAATAAATAGTTTTAAAAGTAGGATCATCTGCTGCTTAAAGTATCGCAGTAGATGTGTAAATTACAAATTTAGAGATTGAAAAATTTCTCCGACTTTCTCTCACTTCTCCGGCAGCTTCTCCGCAAAACGTGCGAGATTCTCGTTGCGAATTCCGCGATATCGATCGCATTTCGGCCATCGCCGAATCAGCAATATATCGTCGTGATGGCTTGCAATTTAACACAATTTCGTGCGTGAACTCCGATCAGATCCTCTAACTCGCGATAGCACGCATATAACGGGGAGTCCTGACAATGACGTACGCGAACCACGCCGTACACCATCAATCTCCGAACACGACGGACATCTTGAACACCCGTATCGGAATTTAATGGTTTGCGTTACGCACCTCGGCTACTTTAAATACGTGGCGTTGCGGAAGTGTTTCGCGCTGCAGTTTGCGCAAACTGACACAATTCTTGAAGAAACAATGCCACTTAAGTGTCTTACATTGCAAATTTTATCAGCAAAGTTATTCGTTCCACTTTGCGCATCACAATTACAAATAAATAAAGTAGACATAGTAAATTAAATGTCAACTCCGTTTGTATCACTTTTTAATTTTTTTTTTTTTTTTTTTTCGAACCAAGTCAAAATTTTTATTACAAAAATACAAACTAAATTTGAGAAATGTGACAGGGAGCTTTAAAAAAATTGTGTTTTTCATTTTAATCCTAGTATCTCACGTTTTACACTTTATCTGATTATCTTCAAGTTTTTGTGTTGTGGCTAAAAAAAAAAAGCAAGCAAGAGAACTGGTTAATGATAATGTAGTCGACTGATAATTGAAGCTACCTACAATCTACCGCGGTCGCTCGGGGAGGCGAATAAAAGACCCAGCGACATCACCGACAATTAGCCATGATCCCGAACACGAGATTGCGTAAGTAAAAGTACCTGGTAATCCGGAGAGGTCGGCTCCACAGGTCGCGCGACAACAAGCCGCACGTGGGTGCCCGATTGCCGTAAAACCGCGGCAACTTGCTCGCTTCCCATCCCACGGAGATTGACATCGCCGATCTGCAATATGTGGTCGCCGCTCTGGAGCCGATTATCCTGCGAACAAACACACACACACACACATTGCCCGCGATGCAAGAAGAAGCGATTTAATTTCCGCGGTGGGCAAACACTGGCTGGTCTTCCGCCGGATCTTTCGTTTTCCTCTCGTTTCTGGACACACGTACGCGCGCCGCTCGTCTTACGTAAATATTAGATCCATAGATTTATATTCGCCTTGCCACCGTGTGGACTCGAATAAATTTAGCGCGAGAGATCTAGTACGAAAAGAAAAGCGTGGGAAGGGCGCAAGATGCACGCGACGCCGCCCAGGATGATTAAGTGAGCAACTTATCAAAAGTTAAGCCGGTGATTAATGAAGGAATTTACTTTGTTAAGAGCCAAGTCCATGATAGGAATTATGCCAGGACCGTAATATATTCTAATTAATACTGATATAATCTTAGAAGCGCGAAAAAATTGTTTTATCACGTGTCGCGGAAGAAAGAGGAGACTCGACAATTTCAACGTGCAATGGAATGTAAATTTTTCTCTTGTTTGCTTACGCGATCGGCAACGCCTCCTGGAAGAATGGTTTTGACGACGACGCCGGTGCTACGTCCGCCGATGATGCCGAATCCAAGACCGCTGCCATCGTTGATGAGGTTTATCACTTCAACTTGAGCCCATTCCGTATTCAACTGCGAAGGAAAAAGATCACAAAGACGTCTGAGAACCGGTCTATCGCGAAGAAAAGCTTTAATAATATAATCCCCGTATACTTTATTCTCAAACGATTGGCCAATGTAATGGAAACTAAACTGTCGGAGATCTTACGTTTTCATGGAGTTTTTATCGTAATCAGCGAACGTCTATTAATCAAAGGAAATACGAAAGAGCAAAAGCAATCCTCTCTTCCTTTTAATTTTAATTTTAGATCGATCGTCAGTGGTATTATTTTTAAAAAAAACCAGCTTACCCCTCTGATGTATGCATACCTATATATATATATAATGCTAACACTTTTTAAGGCTTAACATTTTTTTACAGCGAGAGGGATTATTATTTTTAATAAAAGATTATCTTTGATAACGAAATGCGGAGCACAAATGTACTCCGTAATATCATTCATTTGTCAAAACTTCAAAAGAATCCCTCTGCGGATGTATTTTTCGCGAATATATTTCGTACTTCGTACGCATCCATAATTTTAACAACCGTAACTTATACCACAAAAAGAGAAAGAGAAAAGGCTAATGAGGATAAAGTAGGATGGAAAATAAGGGTAATGATGGCGCACAGCAGCTACCCTACCGTGACATATTTTAACGAACTTAACGAAACGAACAAGATTATTTGAGACTTTTCGCTAACAATGAGAAATTTGGTTTTGTCATGCTAACATATTTCATCTAAAGGCCGACTTAATTTAAACTACTCTCTCTCTCTCTCTTATTAAAATATACCCTGAAACTTTCCTAATTATTTCCTATTATTATTTATTTTCGATTATTTCTTGGCTTCTAAAATTGTCAATTGCAATTTGCAAAGTTGTTATATAATTACAAAAGTATTTCAATATCAAATATATACCTAATGTAGTTGTTTCTCATATAAAAACCTATATAAAAATGTTTAAATCGTATACATGTGATGTATACCTTAATTTGTAATCAGTGGTTTATAATTTTCGTTTAAAATGAATACAATAACAAGCAGATGCGTCGCACTAATCTCTGCTGGCAATATATATTAGGTCATTAAATTTGATCAGTCCTCCAGAGTTTGCTTCGTTATCGTTCACGGCCACAATTAACGAGCTATTTAATATTGATGTTCCAATTTCCGATAGAGCTCTTACAGAGGGCACAATAGCTCATATCTTCCGGGGAAGAGGAGAAACGGATAAATCGTAGCCAAGATTTTCAATTAATTTTTCATCGTTCACCTCTCTCCGGGTATCATCGATATTGCGGTATTGTCGAAAAAGTAATGAGATTTAATTGTGCACCAGGATCTCTGCTTTTCCAAGCGATATTAGAGAGCGCACTTATTGCGCGGAATAATCCTTTCAATACACCGAATGTTTGAAAATATGCGAGAGAGTCGCAAGTAGCGAACGAGAGAAGACTGTTATTCGTTACCGGAAGGGTGAAGTTTCAAAAGCTGGCAGGAAGCATCGAAAGCTCCAATTTATTACGAGCCGCACACACACCGACACACTAGACAATCGGTCGGATTTAATTAAAGCGTTTTTCCCGACGGTCGCATTCGGTCGCATTTTATTCCTCGGATTAGAGGGGGCGCGGAGTTATTGGCTCGTTACAACGTTGGTCCGATAAATTTTTTATGATCCGGTAATTGGTCCGTGCAAACAAGGAACATATAGAACGTACAGACATCACGGGATTTGTCGAAAATCCATGTCCTCTGTATCTCTCTCTCATTCTCTCTCGTAGATCGAAACCTGAATGCTAGTGTTTGCTGTTATCTAAATAAAATTATGTAGATGATCATCTAGATGAAACTTTTATCTTATCTTTATATAGATAATAAAAATATGTATTGTCTCTATCTGCATGTTAGATGAAAAAAGTATTACCTTTATTAAATTATCTAGAACAATTTGCAGATAATTTTGGTTTAGAATCATAGCACATAAAAATATTTAAATAGTAGAACTTAAGCAGTAAGCGATAAAAATTTATAAATAAAAATATATGAATGCATATATTTTTATATCCTTTTTATAATTTACATTTTCTTTATAACTGTGTTTATATAAGCAGTCTAAAAATTATTATCTAGATGAGTCGCCATATAATTTTATCTTTTATCTAGATAAATTAAAAACAAACTCATCTCAATCTTATCCAAGGTGAATTTACATAGTTTCGCCTCAGCTTTAGCTAGCTAATTTTAAAATCATCTAAGCACGACATTTATAAATAAAAATATATGAATGCATATATTTTTATATCCTTTTTATAATTTACATTTTTTTTATAACTGTGTTTATATAAGCAGTCTAAAAATTATTATCTAGATGAGTCGCCATATAATTTTATCTTTTATCTAGATAAATTAAAAACAAACTCATCTCAATCTTATCCAAGATGAATTTACATAGTTTCGCCTCAGCTTTAGCTAGCTAATTTTAAAATCATCTAAGCACGACATTTATAAATAAAAATATATGAATGCATATATTTTTATATCCTTTTTATAATTTACATTTTTTTTATAACTGTGTTTATATAAGCAGTCTAAAAATTATTATCTAGATGAGTCGCCATATAATTTTATCTTTTATCTAGATAAATTAAAAACAAACTCATCTCAATCTTATCCAAATGAATTTACATAGTTTCGCCTCAGCTTTATCTAGCTAATTTTAGAATCATCTAAGCACGACACTCCTGAGGAGAGATCGAGATAGAGAACGAGAAAGGAAGAGAGACAGACGGACACAGACAAGGCCGAGGGTGATTTACATTGCGGGTGTCGTACAAACGCGCGCGTGCGCCCCCGCGGCTTTGTATGCGCACTTACATTAATGAAAGATTAAACACACAGCTGTACACGCGCGGACTTAGCGAACCAGGAAATTCATGGTGAAAGAGATGCGCGGCGACGGGCTTCTCGGACTCTCCGGTCACGTCGGCATCATTAAAGATGAACGGGATATGCTCCTCGTCTGAACTTCGTACATATATCCGATAATCGTTTCTCACACGGCTCAAAATTAGTTTTGGAATAAGTAGTTGAAGAGCTCCGCATCGCGCTTTCTGACGCGCGAGGCGATGTCGAGATTACTTCTTCTTCTCTCGTCATATAAAAGCGGAAGAAGAAACCGATAATCAATCCGTTAATGCCGAATATATATTTTAAGTTCGCTCTATGCCATTCTTCTATTCTTAGCTTTAAAAGCGAGAGAAATAATGCGATGTTCTTCCAGCGATTTTTATACTTCGTATAGGATATGAATAATATAATTAATTTTGATTATATTATATGTAATTTTAGCAAACTAGTTATATTTTTTTCAGATAATTTTAGTAGATAGTAATAAGAATATTTTCTCGCAAAAATACAAAATTAGTCAATCGACAGACTATTTTATTTCTTTAAATTTGATGAAATGTCATATCGAGGAATTTCGGAGGAACTTCCATCAATAATGTACGAGACAAGAGACATTTTACTTTTTTGAAACGATTGATTTGAAACATTCAGCAAATTACAAATCAAAATTGTTACCAAGAAAATAGATAATCTGAAAAATGGATTTCATTAAATAATGCAAACAGAGTGGATAGTAATATGTCTAATTGGCAGAATAAAGTTTTACCATTGATCGACTTTTATTGACAGCACCGGAAGTTCTCGTCCATAATCTTATTATCTCCGAAAAAGTCGTCGATCTTCACCGATAATAGAATAGATAGACATGACATTTGCTTAATGACAATAGAAAGACAAATATATGTGTACGATTAAATATCTTGAGAATTTGCTAGGGTAAAAAATCTTTTTTATACTATATATAGAATGATTCTTAAACATATATCAAAATTTCAAGGGATGATTCATTTTATGAAAAATATCTCTGATTTCTCGAAAATTGCTTCGTTTCGAAAATACAGAGCGATATGATATATGATATAAGATTGGATTCATGTATCCTAGCTGATGGTAATAATTTTCAACAGTTCTTGTGAACAGTATGTATATAGATTAATAAGCTTTATATGTAATATTTATGTAATCAAAATATTGTATTTCTTGTAAATTTTTATCGTCCTGTATCTTCGAAACGAAGCGATTTTTAAAAACTCATCAGAGGTATAAATTTTCATAAAATGACCCAAGAAATTTCTCCTTGAATTTTTGATATTTAAAAAACACCCTGTATATTCTCGATAAATAATGCATTTGACAAATATAAATTTAAAGGTCTTAATATTTTTCATAAATGTAGATAAATATGAAAAATTATCAATACGTAAATTTCATTTCTGTATAATCTGTATTATATCCCGATTTTTTTTCACGGAGCCGCTTAAAGGTGGAATAAAAGAGTTAATATTTCAAGTCACGTTTGATTTAAATGCCTGAAACTTTGCTTCGTACTCAATTCCGTTTAAATTCGCGTTATTTATGATCGGTCTCGCCATTAACCGATATCGCCGATGATACATAGATTGTTCTTTTTTCTTTTTTCTATAGATAATAATAGACTTTTGTGTAAACTTTGAGCAACGGTGGCGTTAATCTGTATCTGTATATCGTTCCATTTTCGGTCGGACAAAATTAATTGCGACGAAAACATCGAAAGCCAGACACACACACACACACGCACACATATACACACACACACACAGAGGGCGAAAAGTCGTAGATTTAATTCGGAAGAGGAAAGTGTCAATTTGTTACGATTAAATGTTCCATCGAAATGGCATCGCCGTGAGGATAAACGATTCCACAGTCTCTCGCCGATAATGGACGATAAATTTTAAAGATCACGCAAACCTTGCCTGCAGAGAACCGGTATTGCCCGGAGGGCGTCAGCGAAACTCTTTACCGATAATTCTATTTCCGTCGCAGCCACTCGCCGCTGCTGCTATCGCGTTCGAAGACAGAGGGTGAAAAAAGGGAAACCGGAGGGAGAAAAAGCGAACGGGCGCCTAATTTATCTACGATTGAAAAAAACCACTCGATCTATAGATATATCGAATGCCGAGAAATCGGGAGGAATCGCTACGTTTCGTTCAACGGGCTCTGATCGAAAAGCCTCTCCCTCCGATAAAATCAATAGCTTGGAATAAACTACGGCAATTAACTGTTTAGAATTGTTTTTCGAGGCACATTCAATAAGCGCGCTCATATAACATGTTGATACATGTGTATTATTTTACCGTATGAATATGATAATATATCTATATATTAATATCCACATGTAATATATCTGACGTTGAAACCATTGTTTGCTTACTCGAGATGAGAGTAATAATAATATGTTCGTAAATATAAATTATTAAATGGGACGGTAAAAAAAAGAGTTAAAGGGATCTTATTGCATATTCATCAACTGCTTGATTAAAATTTTAAAAGTACGATCGGGTAGACAAGGAATTGTGCGAGAATAAAAAATCCTGAATATATATTCTCTTAAAAATACAATTTAAAAGATATAATATTATTTCATAGAGAAATACTACTCGACGTCTCTACTACACACGAGAGAGAGAGAGATGTCCAATATTAGATATAAGATAAATATTATTGGCGAGAAATGTATTGCCTCGAGACACCGGCAAAGCTGTACCAATAATTCTATTTCCGTCATAACCGCGCCACTGTTCCTATTATCGCGACAGAAGATAGATGGGGAATAAAAAAAGGTGTGTCGCGTGGAAGGGTTCCTAAATGAGGCCAATTATGCCAGGGCTATCGATCGGGATTTTATCGGCATGTCGCTACTCGACCGACTCCAGCGTAAATATTTCTTTCTGTCCCTCTCGAGTCCGAGGGAGACTCTGCAAAGAATTTGCCATATAAGACAATCTCGTGCTTGAAAAGCCCGAGCTATGAGCTACAGCTATAAAATAAGGCTGTCGAGAGAGGAGCGTGCTTATTAAGAGGCAATGAGGAACATCCTTTTACAGGAAAAGGAACACAGCAAAAGTATTCAGCACAATAGTCTCTGTTAAGAGGAAAGATCTCGGGATCTCTCGTTTTAGCAAACGAGAAAGAACAAAAGAGAAAGAAACAGAGAGAGAAAGAGAGAAAAAATTTGAATTTTTAAATCGGAGATAAAAATGTATGACTGTGAGGAGGAATATCAGTATATCTATAATCTAATCATTTCTGTGTACATTTGGGACAATGAGTTGATTATAAATAAGAAAAAGATATAGAGTTTTGGTAGATAAGATTTTAAATTACTATTATCTAGACTTAATTACTATTACCTATACTTAATTGAAATTGCTTTTTATAATTCGCAAAAAAATCCACGATTAGATTTTTCTTCAATCAAACAGATATTAAAGTTACAATTTAGGACTGATATTCTCGCAGCATTGAAAAATAGACGTAAATATGCAGCAATGTTATAAAAAACACAAAGCTTTCTAAAAAAAAAAATAAATAAATAAATAAAAGACCATAAGGCTAGATAAATCAAGAAAGAACAGATAAGGTAAACGGCCCACTTTCCGACCTTTTAAGTGCAGTCAGGACAGTTAGTCTTTATTTATGAAGGCAGTATAAGATAAAATTGAGTTTCCTGTATACATTTATTTTGCTAGTAAATAGAACTAGAAATTATAATTTAATTATTTAAAAATACCAATAACCCTCTAATCTATTACAAATCATTTTAAAAGGTCAGATTCTTCGATTGAAAATATTGTATAATACACAGCGTTATTAATCTAATCGATATTCCAATAAAAATTTCGGGCCAAATAAATAGGTCAGAAAGTGGGCCTCAGAGAAAGAGAAGAAAAAAGCGGTCAAAACTCACCACCATGTCAGAGCCACTCTTGGAGGTGTCGCTGACGGCGGATGGACTCCTTTCGATAACGAGGCCTCCGGGTACCGGTGTCGAGGTAGGCGTAGGTGTTGGTGTATGCGTGGGCGTCGGGGTCGCCGCCGAAGTGGTGCTGGCCGGTTGGCTTGACTTCGGGGTCGGTCCCGGTGTAACGACGGTGGACGACACTGACACCGATTGATCCTTGTCGGAGCTTGTCTGGTTGTTCCCAGCAGCGGCACCGCCGCCGCCGCCGACGATGGACGACGCTGCTCCTGCGGCCGCTGTCGAACTCGAACCACCGGACAATTCATCCGTTGGCAAAGAGCTCCCAACGTCTATCAACAACAAGTTCCGCCCATTATTTAACTCCTTCGAGCGTGACGTGCCATATGTCATACCAATACGGCAATCAAATACCGGGATTAGATACTGTAACCTTTCGGGAAAAATTGCTTCTACGGTAGAATTTTCTTTTGTATCAATTTTACAAACAATAGGAACAAAAGGATTAGATATAAATTCGCAGAGTATCTTTTTCGAGATTTTTGTTCAACGTATCTACTATATGTATAAACAATTTTAAATTAATTTGATTGAAAATAAATGTTGAGAAATACACTTGCAATGCTGCAATATTGATCATTGATACCGTCGATATATGGTTTCTATCAGTGTCAAACTAGATCCCGTGAGGTAATTTATTTGTTTGCAAAGAGCTTCCAACATCTGTCAACAACGTACAGTTCCGCCCATTATTTAACCCCTTCAAGCATGACGTACCATATATCGTATAGTATCACTGAAAACAATTGTAATCGCGAAATTGTAACTTCTCAGAAAAATTGCTCGTATCATTATATTCTTTCGTGTCATCGATTTTACAATAGAAATAAAATATTAAAAAATAATGTGAAATTCATTAATTAATTTTAAAATATTAAATATAAAATTAAATAAATTAGAGTTGCAATATTTTTCTCGAGCATCTCTTCATAAAATATTATGTTATACTTAAAATAATTATACTTAAAGCTGCGTTTACAATTTTTTATTAATATCATTAATATTGTATTTAATTTTTCTAAAGTGTCAAACTGTACAATTTATTCATTTGCAAAGAATTCTCAAACATCTATTGATCAATCACAAAGTTCTTCCTATAATTTGACCTTTTCAATAATTAACGATCTTGTTTCTCCAAAATAAATGAAAGATATGCAAGACTGACCCGCTTGCCGCTGTGTTTAAATTTCGACTCAACTTTACGAAATTGTTAACACATTACAAAATTCCGCGGTATAAAATAATAAAAGTTCACATTGCGGTAAAGCGACATTCTCGCAAAGCGGTTGCGTTATTCGCATCGCGTACACGCATGGGCAATCTAGCACAAGTTTGCTCTGTTCCATATGCAATGACCGAGCTAAAAAAAAAGTTGGCGAAACTAATTTAACTCTCCGCGACGTGAGAAATTCAACGGGGATCAAAATTTATGCTGACACGAATACCGTAGCATCGTTGAAAAACTAATCATAATGATTTTAGATAATATCTTCTCTTTACACGCCCGATATTGTTCGCTATTTTGATAAAGGATCGCAAAATTGCAAAGAAAAAATATATCTAAATGAAAAAAATTCTGCGGCAAATATTGATACGCATTATATTCGCATTTGCGTGAGACGACAATTGCGTTATTGTCCGAGACGACATGATCTTCTTTCGCAAATCGAACATCTTGGCAAAAACTACGAGGAGGATTTCAATTTTCGACATAAGCGGATTGGCAAGATTGTGGCAATTACCTTGGGTGCTTCTTGCTACGACTAGCTCAACCAGACCACGGGCCTTCTGAAGAATCGAGATCGCCTGCTCATGAGAGATGTTCGAGTCTAAAGGCTGCCCATCGATCGCCAATATTTGATCCCCTTCTACCAATCGACCGTCGCTGAAACAAAAATGTCTTGACTCGATACACAATATCGTTCGTAACTGGGATGAGGCGGGAGAAAAGCGCAATTTCATGAAAGCGTATTTTCGATCATTGTGAAAATGTGGTGTAGATCTCAAGGTAAATAAAATAGAGATTGGCGCTGATCGAGTGAATAGATTTTGCATTCATGATAGACGCAAAATGGCATACGGCGGCAATCAACTGTATTGTCTGTCATTGACATTTCCGGCCAGTCGCGCGAGCGCGCGCGCAACTTCGCTTTACGCATTTCGAATTGGGTCGCTAAATAATCGAAAAGCGATCGATAATCAACTTATTATCTAATAATGATACGAATACACGCTTACGCAAATACACGTGGTGGGATGATTTTAATTAGATTGCTCTTGCGAGGAAGAGGGGATCATCGATCGCGCGTTATCAAATCGTTGCAATTTTTATTCGCGCCAGGAAAGGGTCATTACAAAACTTTGATAATCGTGATCCCTTTCACCTCCTCCGGTTGCTATCGCGCTGCATCCGCGTGTAATTACTTTACGTTCACTTTAGGATTCTTTAACGACGTCCGTTAAACTTGTAATCTCGTTTTATACAGCTGATATCGAGGGAAAAAAATCTCCGAGACCGCGGGGGATCGACGAGAAATTACAACCGATACTTGAAATTTTATCCTGTTATATCCAACGTGCATTTATGCGCACAACGCGCGGATTATCATACTTGCGCAATATAATAAAATCGCGTACATATTGCATCGCACGCGAGATTTTGTTGTCACGTTCAGAATAAGACGTTGCACATGTTATGATATAAATATAATTCAACGTCACACGCTAGTATGATATAATACCTATCGTAAAACCCGCTCTTGTTTTTCCAATCGCGGTGATTAAATTTTTAGTGAAATCGCCAGCGCGTCACACAGTGTGCGAAAAAATTTTACGACGTAAACGAATATAATTTTAAACGATAACTCAATCCGCCGTTCAATTTATTTTATTTTTGTTTCAAACGTTATTCGCAATTTATATTAAACCAAAATCGCTAGAATTACCAAAAATAAATGTATGCAAATTCCGTTTAAACAGATATGAGATTCGAATGAGTGCAAATGGTAGATAAGAATCCGTAATTGCGGATTTAATCGAGCCATCTCTATAAAAGCGAATTAAAAAAAAATTAAGATTATAGAAATAGACGAATAGAGTCTACATATTTTCGAAATGGACGATAGATTGTCGTAATTATGCGAGAATCCCGTCCGGTCCATGTTCTCCATTGTCGTCAAAAGATAGCATGGCGGCATATCGATGCTGGTTTTGGCTGAAGTGGAACAAGCCGAGAGAGCAGTTGTACGGGTGTCCGCAATCTGTCGAGAAATCCGAACGACAATACGACGACGACGACGACGACAGGCGAAAGGCGGAATCACGAAGAGACAGTCCGATAAGGGAGTTTTGACAAGCGGCAAGTCGCCCCGATATCTGACTAATTAAATTTCTCGGCGGGAGAATCTTGTGTACGACACGAAGAAACTATACGCGCAGAGAGAGTGCACCGTCTCGTGAGTCTCGCAAGTAATTAGATCGGCTTGAGACTGCTATTTAAAGCGCAAACTCCCGGAACGCTTCCTCTTTTCTATCTCTCTCTCTCTCTCTCTGTGTCATATAGATGCCGGAAGCCGAAATAAGAAACGCTGTGCTCGAATGGAAGGTAACGCTCGGATATAGAAAATAACAGGATCTTGTCCAATTTAATTTTAGGAATGCAAGTGGAAATTCTATCCCTTTGGTTGCCTCATAAAGTTGAAATTCACACATTCTTCGAGGAATACTCTATGCGCATCTCGCACGAAAATGGCAAATGTTCTATTTTCCAGTCTCGCATTGCGACGCGATAAAAATGAAATTTCTCAAATATTTACAAAAGAAATTGTTTTGTTGATACTTTTATATCTGTCAAATATATATATGCGATATTTTTAATTACAATAAATTATTTATAATGAATATAGCTTGTGTAATCATCTCAGTTCGCGTAACAGATACAAAAGATATCTGCAAAACAACCGGAAGAGATACATAAGTTGTACATAAAGAGGAAGTTGCAAAGATCGATGAAACTACAGGGTTGAGAAGTTTTCTTTCATCGTGATAACGCTTATCGGGGAGAAACATCATTATCTTCGCTATTGCTTCCACGTGCTGTCCTTTATCGAGTAGTGTAGTTCGCCGTGACATTTGGCATAGCACGCAAAGCTACACATACCGGTTCTGGCATTTAATGGCACGATAGTGGTCGCGTTACCCAATTTCCGTCAAAGCGAATTTCGATGCCTGCGCCGTCGCTAATGATACAGACTCCGCTCGGTTTCACGGTAATCTACGTCTCGATTTTCTGCGGTTCGTAGAAGCGTAACCGACGAGATCCGGTATCAGCAAAAACACATCCGTAATTGGATGATACACCTTGCGGAATTGCGCGAAACGCGACGACAGAAATATTATACTCTCGTGTATCTACGAAAAAATCTAATTCGGAAGAAGTTGCTCCGAAAAAACGCGCAGCACGTTATACTGATAAAAATAAAGCGATCACATTAAACAAAAATTAAGCAAATTAAACTTATTGTACCATTTTTATACTCTTATGTCAAAATTAAACATCTTTCTTCTCTCTTATTCATCTCCCGTATTATATAACGAACAATTCTTCTCAGAGGTAGCGTGCAAAAATATTACTGGGTTAAGCAAACATAAATCTAGAACTGTATTAACATGATTCACAGAAATTTACTTAGCGCTAAATTGTTGCTGATTTTAAATTAATTCAATTTAAAAGTATTAATTAATGTAAATTTTTGAAAAGGGAAATTTTTAAAATCTAGAATCTTTGTACAAACAGTTATTATAAAAAAAATAATATTAATAAACTCGTCGTTAGAAGTGAACAGGGAATAAAATATCCAGTTGACATTATTCGCAGGACCTCTGCAGTAATAAATATCTAAAAACAAAATGATAACAATAATGTTCGCTGTACAATAGAGTGAAAGACGACACTCATAAAATTAAAAGTATCAAATATAACACAAAATATATAAATTCGTAATGCGAAGGGATATTAAAAAGATAGCAACAAAAAATACAAATTATATCAAGTATTAAAAAAGTATTAAAAAAAAAAAAAAAAAAAAAAAACAGTAGATATTAATAATCATATTTTATATATTTTTTCGAGTAAAGCGGAAATTAATTATTTCGAAATCACGATATAACGACGCTGATAAAAATATCGTCGTAGTACACGTAAAGTATAAAAGAAAGGACGAAATATAAGACGCAAGAGCGATTCAGTTAATGCAGAGACAGCGCTGGATATCCGACGGACGGAGTACACAGAAACGCGAGAATGGCGGTTCTCTCTCGCCCCGAGTATTCCGGTATCCTGTAAATTATGAATGAGACGGATCTAGCGAGAGTCTTGTGTACCGAGCTCTCAGATTACTTTCCCGGCGTGCCCGCGCCTCAAAGCATACGGAGAGGGTAGTAAGAGTCGTAGAGGGTGGACTCTCCTTCCACGTCGGAGCTCTACGGCTCTCGCCCTGACGCGACGTGGAAAAGCACCGGCCACAGCGGAGCTTTAACCACGGCGAAGCACTGAGGGTTTTAAAGCCGTCTTTTAACATACGCCGCGGAAGCGAGCACAATACACGCCTATCTCTGGGATATACAGCACGAATGGTATCGCGAAATAAAAAAACACCTAAGTACATGTATTATTTTTTTTTTTTTTATTTTTTTTTTCGTGTACGTTTCCTCTATTTATTAACACGACGTCGGACTCGTAAAACGAAATGAACCGTGAAAACAACGATATCTCGAACGTATCTCTCGCGAATCGTAACAACGAGATGTTTTCGACAAAAGTTCTTTTCCGCGCATAAATAATTCGCGGAAAGCTCGATCGATACGGTCGAGAATTTAAGATCCAATGTTTGACACAACACAAGGGGAAGAACGTCTAACTATCCATTGTTTCCACGCTGCCGATGTATGTAGTTTACACGGTCCTGGTTGGCATAGTAAACTTTCGCCGAATTTCCAAACTGTTAGAGAACAGCTCGGGCTCATACTTTGTATAAAACGCGTCCATTATGCAAAATCGCTCACGTAAATTCTGTGGCAACTGCAAGTGCTTCAAGATAATTACGTAACTAGCTCTTAGACGTAATTTATATGCTCTCTACGTAAATAATACCGACAAACAATAGCTGCGTTAAAGAAAAACTGAAGGCATCCCCCGACTTTCTGATCTATTTGCAAGCGCTGATCTTCATCGAAAAAAATATAAAAGAACAGCACACACAGCTGTGCAAAAATAATTTGTAATACACATATTTAATCAAGTGTACGATTATTAGATGTAACTCGATTTAAATGCCGCGCATTTCTTTCTCGAAGAGTTAATCAATCTGATCAATTTTGTTTCGGAATCGACTTCAATTAAACATCGTTTATAAACGTGCTTAAACACTTCGAATCCGAGAGCGTTTTGATTTGAATCGAATCTCGCAAATGTTATTAGTCTGATGACCATCGCTAATTGCAGAATACGACCGGACTGTAAACATGAAAATGGAGCGAGGTAAATTGTACGCTTGAAGAGTAATTAAGCTCCACAATGCTGTGAATGCAGTCGAGCCATTTGAAAGAAATAGCGGTGGATCGCCGACAATGCGTTTGCCATATCTCTATGCATTATCGTACGAAGATACTCTTGATTAAAATTAGTAGTCTCTTAAATAAATTTAATATAACGTATTGAATTTTGCACGAGAATTTTTTTCATTTTTTCATGTGAAAATTTACACTACAAGGTAAACGGTCCACTTACTGGCCCCGTCGATATATTTTAATTTCATTAAGTTTTTTTGACATTATTTATCATATCAATTATCAATTAAATAAATTAATCTATGTATTACTTTTTTA